TACAAAGTTCTAGGCTGCTCTTTCCAGTAACATCTGCTACCATCCACTACAGGCCCCACCACTCAAGTCATCATCCTGCTTCTCTCAAGACCATGCCACTCCTTTCCCAAGAGTCTCGTGCTCAGCTGGCCGCCCCTGACTTGCCCCCTGAGCTGACAGCAGATACAAGTTCCCATGAGAAGGTGCAGGGAGCATGAGAGAGGCCCTTGCCCTCGTGGGTCTCTGCACTCGTTATCTGTGCTTCCTTTACCCCAACCTAACCTGGACCCAGGCAACCGAGCTATATTTAGGAGTCCACTAAAGCCACCATAATCTGTATATTCATCTTCAAAATATAGTCAAAAAGTGTTTAATGATTCCAGGCATTGAAGGGAAATGAAACATAATTTGTGTAAGTTCTGGAAGATGGGAGAGAACATGGATCATTTTAGGACCTACGAACATTTCAGCATGGCTGGAGCATAGGTACAAGTCGGGCAGTGCTAAGAATGAGGCTGGAGCAGTAAGCAAGGCCTGACTGAGACGGTTTGCTCTAGCCTTGTTAAGAAGTTTGCATTTTTTCTTGAGGGTAGTTGGAAGCCATTGAAGATCTTGTTGAGAGGAGGAGGGAGTGGCGTGATAAGATTCCCGTTCTGCACAGATCATTCTGTCCAGAGTGAGGTCAATGGATTGGAGGCCACCAGATAAAATCCAGGGAGGCCCCTCTCATTATCTGGCTTGTGCCATCCTAACTCAGTTTATACAAAAGGGTACTTCAAAAAGCTCTTATTATCTCTCAATTCTATTTTTCCACAAGCTTTTTGAAGTACTCTAGTATGAGGCCTTATCCCTGAAGGGATATGTGAGAGACTTGCTTTCACTGGTTATGTTGGAGTGACTATCACTCAGAGGCCCTCCAATAGCACCAGGGTTGATGCTGGGGCTCCTCCTACAAGGTGGCTCTCACAGGTGACATCATTGGAATGTTCCCAAATGTTATCTGGAGGAAGGGGATGTCAGGGCCTGGGCAGCAATGGAGGTGGGCAGAGAAACACGCAGGGTGACAAGGGTCACAGGAAATCCTTTTCCAGCTACAAGATCTAGAGCATGCCCATGTGTGGCAGCCAGCAGGAGAGGTGGATGTAAGTTCTGGTAAGGGACCAAGAAGAGGAGGCCACTGTGGAAAGGAGGCACTGAGTCACTGCTCTCCCATTTGTCCCCACGAGAGGCCACATATGGTGTAGTAGGAATTTCTGACAATTCTCCATGAGATAGAGCTGTCTGTGAATTTTCCTTTCTGGAAAATGCATCCTTAGTTCTATTCTCTTCTCAATCTATGTTCATTCCCTTGGTGATCTCTCCAAGTCCCAGAGTGTTAAATACAAGCAATATGAGAACAACTCCTACCTGTATCTTCAGTGTGGACTTGTCAAACTTTAGCCTACTGAAAATCTCCACTAGGGTGTTCACAGCCGTCTCAGACTTAAAGTGTCCAGAGCCAAATGTTGCATCCTCCAGATCTGCTTCACTCCTTTTAGAAAGTATGGCAACTTCATGCTTTCAATTGTTTAGATCCCAAATCTGGTAGTCATTCTTGATGCCTTTCTCAAACCCCACATGCAAGCAACCCATTGTCCAGTCTTGCTGGCTTTCCCTTCAGTATAGATCCAGAATCTGGCCATTGTCCACCTCTCCACTGAAACCAGCTTGCTCTAAGCACACCACTTTGTCCCATCTGGATTATTGCTTCCAAACTAGCATCCTTACGTTCTCTGTTGCCCTCCTATAGTCTGTTACCGCCCCACCCCCCCAAGAAGCCAGAGTGATCATTTTAAAAGTCATGCCAGGCTTCTGCTCAAAAATTTCCCTTGGCTTTCTATCTCACTTGAAGAAAAAGGCAAACTTCTAACAAGAGCCTGCAGACCCTACACGATCTAGCTCATGGATACCTCTGACTCATCTCCTAACTCTTTACTCTCTGCCCCACCCCATCTCTTAGTCTCTGTTCCAGCCACGCTGGCCTCTTGCTCTTCCTCAAAGACATCAACTAAGTCCCCACCTTAGGACCTTTGCTCTGCAGTTCCCTCTGCCTGAAATATATCCATTCAGATACCTGCATGGTTCCCTCACTTTCTTCAGGCCACTGCTTAAATGTCAGCTTTTCTAAGAGGACTACTCTGACTTCCCTATAAAACAACAGGACTCCTTAACCTCCTACCTGGATTTATTGTGTCCACAGCACTTACCGTTTCTTGATTAAGCCATGATAGTTTAGATAATGCTATAATAACATATCCCAAACTTGAGTGGCTTTTATATAAAGGGTTATCCAGTGATATGCTAGAGCCAGCTTGTACGAGGGAAAAATTTGTTAAATTTGTTAAAATTTGTTAAATTTTCAGGAAATTTGTGAGCCAGTTGTTACACAAAGCATTATTAAAAGTTAAACTATATAAACTAACAATTAACTAAATTATATTAACAAAAGCAATTCTCAAAGCGTATCAGTTTTTAATTATTTTACTATTATCGCTATATTAAAAATAATGTATTATTATTATTACTACATATTACCATTATCTATGTGCTTGAAGGTAATTATGTCTATTGTGTCTGTGTGGTGGAAACACTACATAATGAGGTGCTACTGTGAACCTCCATCTAACTCCTCATTTGATGATGCTATATTGAAATTAGCCATATTCAGAGTACTTACACACTGCTAAAGTCAGTAAATGCTACAGATCAGGATTTGATTTATGTGTCAGTGCTTGTCTAAGCTTAAGAAAGTGATGGGGAAAATGTTTATGACTCAGATCAAACTTAAAAGTGCACTGTGTCTGTAGCTGTTATACTGTGAACAGCACCAAAAATTGAGGCCGTATTCTTCTAGTATTCAAAAACATATCCCGATTCAACAAGGAGTCACTCACACCATGGGTAAGCGAGTGATGTTCTAACGTGTCTTCATTGCTGTACTGTCGTCTTATTTGTCAGCGTAAATGAGCAGAACACATCAACCAACATGCAGGGTGGAACTGCCCTCATTTGTCAATTGGAACCATAGGCTGATTATGGACACAAGACCAGCAAAAATGAACCAAAGCGTTCTGTATCAGCTGGATATATGTAACTTGAATATAGAGTACTACATGTTTTTATTTATAAATTGCATCCTCTGTATCAGTAAAGTCTATAATAAACATATATATACACCACACACACGCACACACACACACACTCTCTCTCTCTCTCTCTGTCCCTGGCCCCCTCCTCCCTTGGAGAGCTGGTTGTTACACATTTACCAGTGCACCACTAGGTACATCCCTCACACACACCCTGCGGCCATCTGGGTCATCTGCTCACATCCCTTGCTCTGGGCCCTGGTAATGACACTTCCACCACCTAAAGTGTTGCTGATTGCTGTGGCGGGGTAGAGGGCCACAGTAAGACACACACTGGCTATCAAAGGCTTTCCCTAGAAGTGACATACACTACTTTTGCTCATATTCCATTGTCAGAAGCAAGTCACATGGCCACACCTATCTTTAAGTGAGCATGGAAGTGCAGTCCCACCATGTGCCTGGAGGGAAGAAAAGGACAGGAATATTTGTGAACAGCACTAAGGACCACCATAACACGCTCGGTGCTTATTGCCTGTCCCACACCCACACTTGGATGCAAGGGCCATGAGAGAGAGCTGTTTTGTTCTCTGCTACCTCCCAAGCACCTTGGAGATACTCAATAGGTACTGAGTGAATTGGAGAGGACACTAGCCTGAAGGAGGAAGGGTCTGGAAGTGAGCCTCATGGGTCAATCGAGAGTCATCACTTCCTGTTTTCTCCAAATCTTGATAAACAATGTGTTTTTGTTTCTTGCCCCTCACTCACACCGCCCACCATATGCAGCTGGGAATCCGTGGCAGTGGAAATCATACAGATGCACATAGACCTGTGTCATTAGAACAGGTAAGTGAGGCACCTGGCACATAAAATGTAGCAGGTGTCACTCCCCGATCCATGCGAGTGCAGGATGAGCCCTGAGAGAGTCCTAGGAGCCTGGCTTGGTTCACCCTAGTCCTGTCCCTGCAGCCAGGCCTTCTAGCAACTACCTTTCCAGTTTAATAGAAAATTCCAGCTCTAGCGGTTGCTTCTTCCAGACCCAGCCAGACATCAGCATATGCAAGAGCACTCTGGGCTGAAGCAAAATTTTCTTCTTTGTCTAGCTGGGAGACTTTAATAAACTCCGGGAGCTGAATTATGGCTCTGAACACTGAGAGGTAGGGCAAAGCGATAGGAGGCAGGTACGGCTTACTCTGGGATAAGCCTCTAGTGTGTGTCTACCATACTGTTGGCATCCTGAAGCTCAGGTGTTGACTGTTACTACAGTTGGGTTTGATGGTCTCACACACCTGGGTGCCAGCAGCATAACTCCCATTTCTTGAGTAGCTACTACGTACCAAGAAAGTACTATGCTAGACCTCCATAAACACTGCCTCATTCCTCAACCAGCACTTCGGCTCTACGCACTTGGTATCTCCTGTCTGTCAAAAGAGGAAACTGAGTCTCAGGGAGGTTAAGTAACTCTTCCAAGGTCAAGCTACTACGTACCAAGAAAGTACTATGCTAGACCTCCATAAACACTGCCTCATTCCTCAACCGGCACTTCGGCTCTACGCACTTGGTACCTCCTGTCTGTCAAAAGAGGAAACTGAGTCTCAGGGAGGTTAAGTAACTCTTCCAAGGTCAATCAGGAAGAGGCAGAACCAGGATTTGAATGAAATCTTTCTGAGTCTGATGCCTGGCCCTTCTAAACTAAGAATCTTCTATGAACCTGTGATAAAAAAAATAGAAAAAATCATTCAGGCAACATGAACTCAAGACATGGGGTTTAACTGACCTTGCTCACAAGCTCACAAGATAAAAACAAAAAACAAAAAAACAAAAAACCACACCACAGGCATGTCCACATTTGATTCACATGACAGACTCTCACTGAATCAAAAGAAATCCCAGTTTGACCATCACAGCTTTTTTTCTTTCAATTTTTATTGAACACAAGTATTCTGACAGAATGCAAAGTCAAAATTCTCAGTTAGTACTCAGTATTTACACCAGTGAGAATGAAAACAAAGGTGGTGTCGATGTTTCACTTGGTAAAAAGTTTTATAACAAGAGAGAAGGCCCCCAAAGTACAGAATGCTGGGTAGGGATGTTAATGGAGGTTGAGAACCACCATCCAGACAGACAGCCTAGAGTGAAAACCTGGGACTAGGAAGGCTCCGTAGAAAAGTGTGAAAATAGAGTTCCACTTCAGAAGCTGCTCTATGTACATGACGGCCCTTCAGGACTGGCAGACCCCACTGACGGCACCCGTGTGCCCCTCCAGCAGACTGTGGCCTTGCCGGGTTTAATGTGAATACATATGTATGGCACATACACATATACACACATAGACACTGGAAACCGGTGGAGTTGACCCCTCTTTCAAAAAATTAAAAAAGGAAAATTATAAGCTTATGTTATCTCTTAACATAAAAGAACATTTTGAAAATAAAGCGACTCCCTCTTTGATTTTAGAGAAAGCATTGCTCTTTTAAGAAGGAAAGAAAGAAAGGGAAACTCATGCATGCTGAGACAAACCTATGTGTAGTAGCAGGAGAGAGGCAGCCCAAGGGCGGGCAGAGTTTTGGGTTCCAGCTAATGGCGGGGCCAGGGTTCTGGGGGGTCAGCTGCCCTGGGCCAGCTTATCTGAGGGTTGACTATATCTCTGTCTCTCCCTAACCATTAGAACCAGAATCAGTTTTCTTAACCACAACTACTTGGAGTGAAATGCACGGTCTCCACGAGGTACGGCAGGGCTTGGTCTAGTTGGTCGAAGCCATTACCATTTCCTTAAGAGGAACCCATTCCACTGAACAGCCCGGTGACCGGGAAAGCCTGCCCCTCCCTGCAGGGTCCTGCCCATCTCAGGCACCCAGCCTCTCCCATTCTGCTGCGAGTTCTAAGATCTGTCCTTCCCATCGCTTTTCCCTGAGGGCCCGTGCATTTGAAACACAGATTTGTGCAGGCCCTAGAATTAAAGGGGCCAGGGCTGTGCATTCTGGGATCCTCCATTTCTATCCCCAGGAGCTGAGAAAATGCAAAATAACCCCACATTTAGCAAATGACAAGACCAATTATTTTTCACAGTTTGAAATGATAATCTAACATTGCCACTGATCAGACTGCAGAAGTGTCAGAGTATTGGGGAGTGTGGCTCACAGAATGTACTCAGGGTGGTCTTGCCAGCCTAACCTCTCCCTGCTTTGTACCTTAGGAAAGGAACACATGCCAGAGAACTGATTTCTGTTTACTTAGAGTTGTCTTCATCATCATAATCTTCTGTATTTCATTTTCTTTGTTTAAAGGCTTCAATTCCTTTTAAGAGTTATTTTTGTTTCCTGAATATTTTTCTGAACTATCTGCTATACCTTCCACAACCAAACTATGTTGAAGTTTATTTCAATACTATGACAAAAACACGTTTCACACTAAAATATTCACGCATCCACAGTGCACAAGCTTGCAGTTCTAAAGTAGGATGAGAAAAAAAAGCAAAATTTCTATACAAAGGGCTGGCTTTTCCCTCCTCCCCCCCCTCCCATCCCCCTTAAAGTTTCTGTATTTTTTTCCCCCACTTGGTTTCCAATCCAGGAAAGTTGTGTTATGACTCCAGACAGTAGGTTTTTTTCTCTTTTCTTTTGTTTCTACAAATGCTGCCTAAGTGAACAGAAGGCCGATGTTACTTTACTTCAACAGATTTCCAAAAAAAGACACTAATTCCCTGAAGCGCACATGCTCTTCCGCTCAAATCTAGATTCTGGGCTCAAAAGGAAATGGTATGTATATATTTTATTTGGCTTTCTACAAAAAGGGGATGTTTGGGGTAAAAATGTGTGTTCACCAAGACCAGCCCCAACTATACAATCTTCTCTGCTTCATTCAACAAAGCCTAAGGAGTCCTTCAGAAGGAAGGCGGGGGACGTCTGGGGAGCAGATCCTTTTTCACAGATGCAGGCAGGTGGCGGCTAATCAGAAAGTGGTCTAACCCCCAAAGAAACGCAAAAAAGAACGGAAAACTGAAAAACAAAACCATTCCAGAACAAGGTGAATCTTCATCTGAATTGGACACAGGCAAAAACTGCAGATCGGAATGGGGGAAGAGCCACTGTAAACAATCATACTGGGTGAAGTCGTCCTGTGCTCAAGCAAGCCTGTGACGATCCTCCCTACCTAGGCGGTATTTCGAATTGGACACAGGCAAAAACTGCAGATCGGAATGGGGGAAGAGCCACTGTAAACAATCATATTGGGTGAAGTCGTCCTGTGCTCAAGCAAGCCTGTGACGATCCTCCCTACCTAGGCGGTATTTGTTACTTAAAGAAAAAAGGCAGCTATTTTACATGGACATTTAACCACAACTGAAGTCAAACCTTTGTCAACTTGTAAACACTAGAAAACAAAGTTGGCAGAAAGGAAAAAAAAAAAAAAAAGGATGAAAAAGAAGGCCGAATACTGCAAATTGAGATCTACTCCCAGAAGCTGCAATTTGGCATTCTTCCTACAAAACAAGAGTCTACGTGGGAATTGAATTCAGCTAGAAAGGGTGACACACTTTGCATACTGAACCAATACAAAGTGAACAGAAATTATAACTTATTTATGAGGTTTTACAGAGTTCAAACTCGACTGAAAGTATAAAAATAAACTGTGGACTTTGTTCATTCGGTGAGTCTTAGTGCCTGAAAGCATTTCTCTGAAACTGGTCTGTGCCAATCGGGTAACCCAAGTGTGGTTTGCCTGAACCTAGATTTCTTTTTTCTGAGCTTCCTAGATTCTTAATTTGGGGTCCTTTTGTTTGATTTTTAAATGGTTTCAGGGAACGGAGTGTCCTAGTTTGGCTGTGGGTTTAACCTTTTTGTCTTATTTTCTTACAAGGAACTGTGCAACAAAGGGACCCTTTCTATACATCTACAAAAAGGAGCTCCCATGTTTATCTGCTTAGTTTTTTTTTTTTTAAAGGCAAAAGACACTAGAGGAATGAGACGTGTGTGTGTGTGTGTGTGTGTGTGTGTGTGTGCGCGCGCGAGCATGCGCGTGTGATATTGGAAATGCTCTGGTGAAGCTGCGGTGTCACTTTGTATTTTGATCTTTGCTGTTCCTTGTCACCCATCACGCTTTGCTCTCGTTCTCCTTTGTCTGTGTGGCATCGTTGGGGACCGTCTTGACTTCGGCTGGCGCTGGCTTCGTTTCTGTCTCCTGGCTCTCCGACTTTGCTTCTACAGGGCCTTTCCTGCAGAGAATCAGGAAAACAGCACCACTGAGACCATGGTCTGAGGACATATCACCCCTTCATCCAGGCCCTCCGGAGGCTCCAGTTACACCACTGGTCTCTAATCTCGGATGCATGTTGGAATCCCCTGGGAGCTTTAAAAATCACTGATGCCTGGGCCGTGTCCCCAGAAATCTGGATTTAACTGGTCTGAACATGGTGACTTAAAAGCACCCAAGTGATTCAGATGTGCAGCCAAAGTTGGGAAGCCCTGAGTCAGAAGAATGCGTCCTGTCCTGCTCCAGCCCTAAATTGATGCTAGGGGCTCTGTTTTTACCTGGGGGGATTGAAGGGGGTGGTAGAGGCAGACTCTTCCTCACCCCGACCAGCTGCCATGGCAGCAACTCAGCTTGCTATGAATGAGGAATGCTGGCTAGGATCCCAGGACTGATGCCAGGGGCCCCTGCCCCTTCGCAAATGACCTGCTCTTGCCTACCCCTCCCCTGCCCTACCCAGCACTCTGTGTTTTGGGATGTTGCTGCTAAGGCTTGCCTGTCTAAGGTGAGAAAATATTGTGACTGGGGCAGCTTTCCATGGAAGTCTAGTAAGAGGCTGCTTGCTATAGGGGAGTTGAGAGGGCAGGGCTGTTGGGAGTCCTTTCACTTCCTGACGCTGAGATCCAGGGCTCCTGCTGAGGGCCTACTTGCAGCTCTTGGTGGCAGCACTGCAGCTGATCTGGGGGGCAGCCACAGGACCCTCTATGAAAATGGAGATCTGACTCTGCCTCCATCAGACCCAGAAGCGAGTGGGTCTAGGGATTACTGGGGCAGGTGCAGACTCCAGCCTCTGCTGCTGCTATTGCATTCTGGCATCACACTTAAGGAATCTGAAAGGTAAAGGACTTTCCCTTGAAGTTAGAGACCCAGCAGCCATTTGGTGCTCGGGAGCCCCGAGACTTCCCAGCCACTCTGGGAGCAGAAGCAAGAGAGAGGGGGAGGAAGAGTGGGTATCAGGGCCTCTGGGCTGCATCCTCCCCCACTTGGGCCTTGGGGGCTGGCCTCTTTTCTTCCTGCATAGCAGTGCCTTTTTGGTGGGGACTCAGCCTTGCACTGGATAACACATTGACTGTGGGCCCCAGGGTGGCTGATAAGGGCACTTTGGCCTCCTTAGCTGGCTTCCCAAGCTATGCTCATCTGCGGCCCAACTGCAAGGGCTTCCCCAGAGAAAACAGCAGCCACTGCTAGGACGATGAGGACGAAACATAATTAATGTGGCCTAATTTGTGAGCCGGCGCTACTCGCCGGGCCCAGCTGCCTGCCCCACTCTCTCTGCAGCATCCCAGCCCCTTGGTTGACAGCCGCCTCAGAGAAGCCCTGCATGAGGCTGAAGACACGTCTAACAAGGAGGACACAGCACAGCACAGACGCACACCACCAAGGGACACAACCCGACGACAGCAGACACAGAGAGGCCGTACTCGGTCTTTGCTGGTGCAGGCGGAACAGAGTTGTCAGCAGGGGAAGGAGCGAGCACAGGGGCTTGTCCACCAGCCCCAGCGGCGGGAGCAGGAGAGCCCAGGGCTGCAAAAACATCCTTTGCAAGGTCAATATCTGGGGTCTTGAAGTTCCCTTCGTCCATTTTAAAGTCCTCGCCCTGGGAAGGGTTTGTGGCGCTGACGGAGGCAGCCTCGCTCTTCGGGCTAGTGAGGGCTGTGGCTGCCTCGGCCGGGCTCTTCGCGGCGCCGGGCTGGGTGGGCTCCAGGTCCGGGCTTTTGGTGCTCGGAGCCTCCTGCTTGGCCTGGGGGGCTTCTGTGGCAGGGGCAGCCGCTGCTGCTAGGGGACTGGCTGGCACGGGGGCCGGCTTGCTGGCCGGAGGGGCCTTAGAGGCCTCCCCTACACTGGCGGGGGCGCTTGGGCTGAGGACGGCCCCTTGATTAGCCAGGACACTAGAAGACAAATTGCTAGCGGCAGGGGCTGAGGTTGGGGTGTCACTCAGGTCAACGAGGGGAGCAACTTTGGGGGCTGAAGCTGGGGGCGGGGAGGAGGCAGAGATGCCAGGCCCCTTGGAAGGGGTGGCTTGGCTAGCGGGCACAGAGTTTGAGTCAGGGGTGGCCGTGGCAGGCGGGGCAATACTGGAGGTCAGGGTGGTGGTCTCACTGGTGGGGCTGTTCTGAGCAGTGGCAAAGGTTTCGGTGATAGTGTCAGAGTTAGTGGTGACGGTGGTGACAGAAGGCAGCATGTCCTCGACAGTGGCTGTGGTGTCAGCAGGCAGCCTGTGGGGAGGACAGGAAGTAGAAGAGAACAGACAATGAAGCTGAGACGTGACAGAAAAGCAGGGAGGAGGGCTGAAGCCAAGGAGCGGGGCCACGGGCAGGCATGCACAGGCACGGACACAGGCCCACAGAGAAATGAGGACGCCGAGAGGAAGCACACGCCCAGGGGGGCAGAAGAGGACACAGGAGACGACAAAGAACGTGGCACTCTCAGAGGGGACCTGCTAGCCCCTCTTCCCTGCTGACATTCCTCCAGCTCTCTGCACGGGGCTCCCTTTCCCTACACACCTGTCTGGGGCTTTCTGATCCCTGCCTGTGCTTTAGTTCAGCATCTACCTTTTCTAGGCTTCCCAGGTCCCAGGGGAATTGGGCCCAGCTACCCAGTGGGGCTGCACTGGGCAGCAATGGGGAAAGCCAGGAAAAAGGCAGATCACAAGTACTCCCAGTGGCTCCTACGAGCTGTGGGTTCTTGTAGCCACAGATGATGTGGTCCCATGAAATTCCATTCCCTGAAAGCCCATAGGATCCTTGCTAGTCAGGCACACATTACAAACACAGCTGGTCAGGGTCTCTGCAGGTCCCCAGGACTCTTGACCACAGGAGGGCCAGGGAACTTTACCAGATTCCCAATTTCTTTCATCCTTTTAGGAAGAAAACAGAAAACCCTAGAATTCTAAGAAATCCTAAACAGAATCTGCTAAGCCTCTCTCAGTAAGGTTTTGCCCCTTAAGTCCTTTGTAGAATCTGTGTGTAACATGGAACAGGGTTTAGGGATTGCCACTTATGCAAGCCACCCCAAACAGAACCTCAAATGCCTTCTCTCTAAGGAGAGAGTGGGGTCAGGCATTTCTCAGCCAATTGGGTCTTCTGGCTGAGGGCTCCAGAATCCTGGCTTGCAATGTCTGGCTGGGAGCTGCAGATGGGAAGCATGGAAGGTGGGGGAGGGTGATGAGGTAGGTGTAGGGGGCTCTACTGAGCAGGTGCCAGCCCTTCCCAGCCCACATACTCGGGCTCCGTCAACGGCGTGGTCTCATTGGGCTCTGTGTGTTTCCCTCCATCATGGTTTGGGGTCCGCTCCTCCTCAGTTCGAACCTCCACGATGGGCTCCTTGGATTCATCTTTCCTGTGGAGAGAGTTGTGCTGGTTAGATTCCAGGGCAGTTGACTGGGGGCTCACCAGGGAAGGCAGCGATAGCTTAGGGTACCTAGGCCTGGCCCCCACTGGCAGGGTGGGCATTCAGAGCCAGACACCAGTGTCTGAGTCTCAGTCCTCACTCTCGCCAGCTCTGTAACTTTGAGCATCTGTTTCCTCATCTGCAAAATGGGGCAAATAATAGTATGTACTTCACCTATTATGAGAAGTAATGTATGTAAAGTGCTTAGCACAGTGCCTGGCACAGAAAAGTGCCCACACATACATGTACATACACACATCTACATGTATTTGTAAGTGTGTACATGCAGGCATGTGTACACATATGTGTATGCACATACAGGGCACGGCATGGGGTGGTGCTAAGCAATTCATTTCCTTCCTTCATCCCTTTTGGGCTTGCTCCAGCTCAGCCCCACCCAGTGACAGTCTCCGAAGGCTCCTTCTGACTGGCTCAGGGTCTGTTTCTCCACAGACACTGCTGGAAGGGACAATATCTAGATTGTCAGCTCCATGAGGACAGGAATTTTTTATCTGTTTTGTTCCGTGTTGTACCCTTGTGTGTGGGAACAATGCCTCGCCCATAGTGGCTCCTTAATAAATATTTGCTGAGTGATGGATGAATGAATGAATGAATGAATGAATGAATGAATAAAAGCAAGGCAAGTGTGTCCCTCAAATGCTGGTCGCCTCCATTGTGGCTCCTCTCCATACTCAGCTCTGACAATTCCCCTTCCTTTGACCTATGCAGGGATTTTCAAACTTTGGCAAAATTCTAATACACGAGATCTGGGGTTGGGCCCAAGGATCTGCTTTTTAAACAGGTAACACCTCCCTCCCCCACACCCCTCCCCAAGCCCATGCTTTGAGAAACTTTTCTCTAATGCTTTTATCCCCTTGGGATTTTCAAATAGGGAAAGTGATGCTGAAGGAAAGGTCACTACAGGCACCGACCGACGGCTCAGAGCGGCACGGCTGAGGGGCTCTGGACTAGGGACAGAGTCCAGACCCCAGCAGGCGGGCGAGCAGGCGTGCACTCACGAGAAGGCGGCTTTGCCCTCCTCCATGTCCTTGCCCTTGGCTCCGGGCCCGGCTTTTCCACACAGGTTGACAGCGATGCACATCAACAGGCCACACTTGTTCAGGAAATAGCAGGTGATGTCCACAACCACCAGGAGCAGGACAAAGATGACAATGAGGATGCCCACGATGGCCCCGGTGCTCAGGCCTGCCGTGGGGCTGCCGTTGGCTTGAGTGGGAGAGAGATGGCCAGTGGTTAACAGACTGAGATGCGAGAACCCCTGGATCCCACAGGATGACAGCCCCCAGGGTGGGGAAGGGCCCAGAGGACAAGGTCATGGCATTCATGGTCAGAGTGACACCTTTTCTGGGGCCTTTCTATGTCCTGGTGTTGAGATAACAGGTTTCTCTACATCATCCAGAGGGAGGGATGACAGCTTCATCTCATAGCCTGGGGAACAAGGGCATGAGACTCCCCGAGACCATGCTCAGCTGGCCTCCTGTGAGTCCTGGGAGCAGGGTGGGCCCAGCCAGTCAGTGTCTGAGGATGCTGGAGGATGAGAGTATTGGAGGGCACTGCTGGGTCTCCCCTGGGCCAGGGAAAAAGGCTCTACAGGGCAGGCAGGCAGTGGTCCCTGGTTTCAGGGTGGGCTGTGGCTCTTGGGATGGTCCTAAAAGGGGTGGCAGAGGGTTCCCAAGTCTTCCTCAGGGCTTGTGGGTATGTCAGGCACAGCAGGATGCCCAATACACTATTCCACTTCCTCCCCCTCTTTAGAAATGACTCCAAAGGGGCCTGACATTGGACCATGTTGGTTTTAGGGTTTACCCTCCTTCACTACACCCCAGGAAGATTAACGAAGCGCACATGACTCTGGAGACCTGGACGCCTCCCCAGGCCCAGTGGGCAAAGTGAGAGGACTGGGAATACTCACCATCAGGGAGCTCAGGCATGCTTGGATCAGACTTCAGGAAAACCAGCAGACTCACTCAGATGCACACCCGCTCAGACAGGCACACTCAAACGCAGGACAAACGCCCGCACAGATGGACACACATTCTCACGTTCCAGCAGCACCAGCACCCCAGTTCTCGCTGAGCTCCCTCTGAGTGACTCAGTCTCTCTGTCTTACTCCCCTGGTGTCCATCTGTGACCCCCCCAGGGCCTTGGGCTACCAATGGTATCACAGGAGAACCTGGGCTCAGCCCCCTGGGGTCCAGGAGTTCATCCGCATGGCCATAATTGACGTTAGTTGCCTGTGATGGACCTACCGACCTCTTGGATCCATCAGAGTCTGGGAGACATGTGGTTGTGCTGCAGGAAGCAGGAAACCTTGGGGACTTCTGCCTATCAGTCACTGTGGAAACAATGACCACAGACTGAATGTGGACACTTCCGATTCCTCTTTCTTCTGGAAGGACACGATTCCAGAACTGGCAGCCCTGTCCCACCACCACACCTTGTCTGTAGTTTCCTGTGCTCTCAGGGCCCACTAAGATCACTCACTGAGTGGCAGGAACTGTAGCCAACACGACCTGAGGACAAGGTCATGGCATTCATGTGATTGGCTCAGTCCTGCCTGACACCATACCCAGCTCATTCTGCTTGCCGAGCACCAGGCCCGGCCCCAGCGGTCTGCCCTCCACGTATCATGCCAGATAATGGGTGGAATGTATAAGGCAGAGTAACCGGCACCATAGACCGGCCACATAGTCTTCTTTTTCCATGCGGTGTGTTCCAGGGCAGGTGGGGGGCTCCTTCGTCTGTCCCCAGAGGTCCCTACCCAGGCACTGTATGTAGCGCTTCTCCAGTGGCAGTCCCACTCTGCTGGTCCTTATTTCAAACTTCATGCCAGCATGCCAGAGAGGAACACTCACATCCTGTTCCTCAGCACTCTGGGCACAGTTGGCTCTGGTCTGGAGGGAATTCCCTGCCTCAAAATTATTTTTGGCCCCTTTGGGACCATGGTCTTGCTTCCCAGCTGTTCCTCTTCAGGATCTCTGGCTGGTCCCTTGCAAGCCTGCACTGAAGATCTCAGCCTATCCCCCCAGGAAAGCCCAAGACTGGCAAAGGACCCAGTGCTCAGAGGACCCAGCTTTGGCTGCCTTGTTTCTGGACTTTGGAAGCAGGAAACTGGCAGCTGGTCCCAGCCGTCACCTAGCGGGTCATTTTCTTAGCAGATCCCTAACGCAGAGGCGTTTCTATTGCTCACATGAGAACAAAGCCACCCATCAGCTTCTCCGTGGTCCTCACACATTCCACCCAAAGAACAAAGAAAGAGATGCAGGACTTCCTGATCTTCTGGATCCCCTGACTCTTTCCTTGAATAGGGAAAAGATCTTATTTAGCCTTGGGTATTCTCTCCATCCCATAACACTGGGCTCGAGGCCACCACAGCCTCCCGACATCTACTGCCTGAAGTAGGAGCTCAAAGTATTTTTATTTTTGGGGTGGGGAGCTGTCTGTATTTTTTGACTCAGTGGCACTAACTCTACATTCTGAGATTTATATTTATTTTATGTAAATATGGTTTTGCGGCACTAATCATAACTCTTTAAAAAAAAAAACTACTAAAAAGCTGCTCTATGCACCCAAGAGAATGGCAGCTGACACAGCTTCTGCTCCAGGACCCAGCAGAGGGCCTCGCTGGTTCTGAGCATGTTCGGGTTGAAAAGATTCTTAACTGCAGTATCAATAAAAAGTAGGGCAATGGTCTCTTCTTTCATTCAATACCAAATTCAAGATCTTTCCCTGGCCTAACAGGCCCAATATATGCGGTGGACTCTGCCCACCCCTCTGGCCATGGTAACTCATGGAACAAACTCCTGATTGCTGGGGTTTGACCAGGCAGCCTTTGCCTTCCTTCTCCCTGCTGGACACAGCCAGCTGTTCCGCTTCAGGGCCTGGCTGACTCTTGGCCTGGATTGCTTCCTCCCCAGTCGCTTTGTGAGTGGCTCTTTGTGGTCTTGCAGGCCTCAGGCCCAATGTCACCTTCTCAGAGAGGCCTTCCATGATCTCTTATCTAGCAAGGCCCCTCCACCCAACATCTACCACGTTACCCTGTTTAATAAAACAGGGCACACACCATCTCTCTTCTCGTCTCTCTCTGTCGTCTGCTGTTCATTGACATGCTTATTATCTGGCTGTCGCATCTCCTCGAGAACATCCTATCAGGTACCCGGTCTCTCTTATGTCTCCCCAGCATCGAGGGCAACCTTTGCTCACAGAAAATGTTCAAAGACTATTCACTGCAAAAATGAATAAGTGGTTAGCCTGGAGATGAGAATGCTGTTTCCAAATATTTAAAGGTGTGTCATGAGAAGAAAGTAATCATCTTATTCTGTATGGCACCAGGGGATGGAAATATGGGGGTGGGGGACAGATTCCAGCTCCATATGAAAAAGGATTAATAAACAGAGCTATTCAAACATAGCATTAACTGCCTTGGCAGGTGAGCTCCCTGTTGCTGGGGCATTGAAGCAGAGGCTGGACAACCCCTTGGCAGGGATGTTGCAAAGCTCTGGATGAGGTTCCTGCACCCTGCAGGGTTTTAGGTAGAACATGTCTTCAAGTTCTCTTGAACCGCAAGAGCCTGCCATTCCAAGTCAGATGTCCTGTAGTACTCAGCACATGGCCAATCTCCTTCAGAGTGTGTCCTGAGCAGGACTTTTTTCTGGAAGACTAAAACACTCGGTGGGTCTCATCTTTAATCATTCATCTTTATGATATTACTTTTGCATGAAAAATAAATACCTTTAATTCAATGATTCTCCACCTGCAGCAGAATTTCTGGGGTGTTTTATTAAAAATTCAGGATCTGGGGCTCCCTAATTCTATGGAATCGGAATTGTTGGGGTGAGGCGCAGGAATCAGATTTGAACAAGTTCCCCAGGACTCGTATGAGGACCATTGTTCCTAGATCTTCCCTCCCCTAGTTATCCATCACAAGGAACAGCAGGTGATCCCATGATCCACCACCCACAGATGAGCTGTGCTGTCACTCCTAGTGAACCTGACAAAATGGACTTGACTTAATGTGCCGGATAAACTGAGAGAAAGCAAAGTCTATCCCCCAAAGGAAAAGGGGCCACACAGCCCACCAAAGCTGAGTCTAGACTTCTCTTGCTTCTCTTGAGAAGCAAGTGAGGTGCTCCTCAAGCTGGAGGGAGAATGCTTGTCACTTACAAAAAAGCCATAAATAAGAGACACCACCTGGATACAGGTCAAGGCAAGCCACATCCATTCCCTCCTGGTCAATGTTACAGAATTGTTTAGTCCAGGAAAGCTAGAGGGACAAAGGTTATCTCCTGCATCATATGCATCGTTTTACAAAAGGAAAAATAAAAAACCTCCCTGGGTCTATCTTTGCCATGATCTTCCACTCAACGTCCCTTGACTAACTCACCCATGCACTCTGCATGCACAGAAGGCTTCTTGGGAGCAGTTCCTCCATAACCTGAAAGGTCAGAGCTGCCCTACACGATGAGTTTGTGAAGCTGGGGCTGTCCGTCTTCTGTGGTTCCTGGCTTGGGAGAGGTGGCACTAAAGAGGAAACTGGCTCGCCCCAAGACTGAGACCCATATACGCCTACTTTCTCATGTCTGAAAACGGGAATATGGTCTCACGTTTTACAGATGCCTGGATGGGCCTGGGTCGTTGCGCCACAGGACCCTGGTGCAGAACAAGTGCCTTCCCCACCCCCGGTCCCTCTTAACGACTGTCAGACTCTCAGAACTGTTGAGCTGGGCTTCTGGTTCATTTATAATCCCCCACATGTCTACTTGCTCCTACCTGGAATCAGCTAAACAGACAGCTGGTCTCAGGGGCTTGCAGGAGGCATATAAGTGTGATTATAAACAGAATAGAGTTTGCCAAAGAGAACTTACTCTCAGGTTCTATCACAAGATCACTCTGTGCAGCCTCTATTAGGGAGGGCAAAGGTTGCTGTGTGATCAGGAGACCTTGTGACAGAGTCACGTGTCTGGTGGCTCAGAATGTGCTCCGATACCCATAGTGACCACCTCCCCAGTTTTGCAAAGCCACTTTGCCCCCACTGCCTGCTGGGGACTCCAAGGAGGCAATGACCCTTAACAGCTCCTAGGATAGCTGAGAAAAAGATATTGCTCTTCATTAGGAAGAGAAAATGTCTCCTTGGTTAGAACGCCATCTGTCGGACTATAATCTGAGGTACAATTTAGACGTCTCTGGGCACCCAGCTATGCAGGGACGTGCACGGTGGAGGGGAGGGCTTCTCTTTTTTGGACACACAACTAACAAAGAAAGTCAAAACACGCTCCTGAGTTCACATGAACTGTTACTTCCTTTAATAATGCAAAAGTGTGAACTTCATAAAGGCCTTGCTGATTATCTACACAACAATGTTAGCATTCTTATTAGTAGAAAAACATGACCCAAACACATGATGTAAATATTCCAAAAACGAGCAGAGGAGCCCCAGGGCGTGTGGCGCCCCAGGCAGCGCTAATGCAGGGCGCAGAGGCTGGGGCAGCTGGCAGGGCAGGGAGCACCCACCCGCAGGGGGCTCTGTGGGCCACTGTCTTAAGGACTGCTATTGGGGCTGGGGGGTGGCAGCCTTCACTGGGAACTCAGTGTCTGGTGGGAGTAAGTGTGCACTAATGTCGTCTCCCAAAGGACATACCATTACAAGCCATGGGCCTGTCTAAATGGGCCCATTGCAATGACCACAAAGTTGCTTCAGTGGAGACCTACCAACCCCGGGATGTGCTGAGGGGACAGGGTTGTGTCTGGCCTCTTCACACTTAGGGCTAGTTCTCCAAAGGGTCCCTTCAGAAATACTGACACTGTCCCTCTCCTTTGGGTGGGCCTGGGACCAGGGTGAGGCAGACCTCTGAGCTGGGCTCCCGTAGGGTGAATACAGGTGACTACTGCCCAAGGCAACCGCAAGAGGCAAGAGGACAGTGAAGGGGGATCTCTTTTGCCCTCTCTCCAGCTCTCTCTAACTGACCTGTGATTCCTACCTCAGGTCCCAGAGGGGCCCTGCACCTAAGAACCATGCCCACTTCTGCTGCCCTGGTGTGAAGTGAGGTGGGGGACCTCAGGAGGAGAGATCCATAGCTGGGGTGAGAGATGCCCCACTAAGCAGTGAGCAGCCTCCTGGTGTCTGCATGTGAGCCTCTACACTGAATGCTGGGGACACCGGCACATGCCAACACAGCCAACTCCCTGCCCACCCCCCGCCGCCCCACAGACCACAGCAGGGGGTCATTTGGATTCCCACAGGGAATGGCTAGTTTTTGAACATTTAAAAAAAAAAAGAAAGAAAAAATATAAAGAAACCATAAAGAACAAAAATCAAACTTCTATGGAGATGCTCAGAGATGAGAGATGTAGAATGACATGTGACCACAATGGCGGGAAGGAGTTTTTATTCAGTAGACGGTCCATCCCAAGCACACACACTGATACAACTGAGCAGGATTCAGCCCTGGGTCTCCATGCATCCAACCATAACAAACATGCCTGCTCCTGTCCTGGGTGAACTCCCCAACAGCAAGGAGGAGCACCTGGCTCTGCATGAAAGTTTAAAAAATGTCACCGAACCAACTGACCTATAGGGAGGCCGGGGCATTCAGAAAGTACTGACGGGCTGACTCAGTCCCAATTTACTGATACTCCTGGGCTGGACAGTCTGGGAGTGGCCTGTCTTTCCCCTCCCGCATTGCTGAGCATATATAGGTGGGAGACCCTTGCTTAGCTCACAGTGGATGCTTGTGACCTGCCCAATGAGCTGATGCTTACAGCAGTTACACAGGTCACGGCTGGATCATAACCCCCAAGCCACAGAGGCTCTGTGCTGGTCTGGGACATGCTGCCCTGCAGCAGGGGAATCACTCCAACTGGGAGACGAGGACTTTTCAAAGCCCACACATGTTGGGCACATCATGTCATGGCTCTGTTCACAGAGACAGCTTAAGGTGCTGGTTATAATACCAGGACCAAAGTGCCTCCCAGCACATTTCCTCAGCCCCAGAAAATATACAACAAATTCAACTCTTTCCACTGCACGGGCGACAGGGTGACTTAATTTGTCCATTATGTCAGCAAAATGCTTAGATGAATCACTGCAGTCTGGCTCTCTTAACATGGGCACTTAAATGCTTAAATGCAAGCAAAGCCAACTACTTATCGAAGGGTGGAGGAGGAGCACAGAGTTAGTGAGGGGGACATGTGGCGATTTTAACCATCTGATGCAAGCTTTAGAAGGTACTTAGAATTCTTCCTCCGCTACATCATTTTAGGTATGAACAAAAAAAATGCAGTAAGTAGCAGATATGCAGAAACTTCTCTGTAAACCTAGCATAATGCTTTTTCAAAATAGCATTTAAAGAAAAAGCTCTCAAATTCTTTTTACTGCTATTAGAAAGAAAGGGGAGTTTATGAAGTGGCACAAAAGTATCGGTGAATGGTGAAATGGCTGGAGGTAAAGCTTTTTCCAATTGCAAAACCTTCCTCTTCCACACAGAATGCTTGCTGGGTGGCGGTGGCCACGGTGGTCCTGACAGGTTCTTCCAATGGGGCACTGATCACTCTCATAGGAACTGGGCTTTTAAGCAAATTTAATTTTTGTGTTCGAGTTCCTAACAGAGCAAAAGGAGAGTCACTGCAGAGAAAAGCAATGAGACAAAGGTGTAGGAGGCGGAACTGCCTCCCAAGGTTGCTGCAGGTGTCAAGCAATGGGTCCCCAGAGAAAATGCGGTTGTTTAAAAACAAATGTGGCAGTGGGGATGTCCCAGTGACGTCCAAGGTGACAAGCGTGACGACAAACACAGGAAGGGGAAGGGGGAGAAGGACAGAGAAGGTAGAGACAGAAACAGAGAAAAAAAATAGATAAAAAGAAAAAAAAATTAGGTCAAATATAGAAAACACAAGAGTCAAAGGTTAATTCAACTTAGTAAATTAAATTGACAAAGGTTAGAGAAGAGTTCAGTGCGGTATCAACACCATAAGGCCAGTTCAGAAGCTCAGCAATGCCAGAAGCAGCACAGCAGGGTTAATTTGGGGCTAGGGGTCAGCGAGCAAATGAAATTAAAGTGAGAGAACAGAAGCCCCCACAGTAAAACATGAGAGTCTGATTAGGAGAGTGTTACCTTTGACTAAGGTGAAGCCTCTTAGATACAGTCAGCAAGGGCACAGTCGCCTAGTCTCTAGCGTTTTTCACCCATGGTGGCAGAGATGCGTTGGACTGCTGCACTTTGAGTCAGCAGACTGTGCATGGGGATAGGGGACCACCACCTTTTCAAGGTGAAGCAGACTTTTCTCCCTATCACACAAGCTCCCCACCACAGGGCTACTAAAGAGAATCTGGTTCTGCTCCCCCCTCCATCTGCTGCCCTACTGACCACGGAATTCAACCACAGGTGTACATCTTGTAACTCAGAGGGGTTGTATTATATTCTCGGGTCCCAATATAGTAGCCAGAAAAGTCCAATCAAGACAAAGCCACTACCTTCTCGAACCTGTGCAGTAGAGCCATTGAACCATCATGGGCAGGTGAGCAACCCCACAACCCTCTCTGGCTTCAGTGGGCAGCTGGGCAATTCACAAGAAGGATTCTGACGTCTCCAGTGGGCATGACTCTGGAGGACAAGGTCTCCCTAGAATTTCTGTCTCTGATGCCCCAGAAGCTGATGCTGCTGGCAGTACCCAGCACGTGAACACAGCACGTTCAAGACCTCCCTATTGAGTCTGACCCCAGGGAATTCCATAAGGTATCTGTCTTGCTGCAAAGAGCTTACTCAAGCCTCACATTTCCCAGCTCCTAAGTGTCCCATAAAGGCCAGGCAGATATGGACACTCACTCGGGACTGCTGACTTCAAGGAAAAACTGACCAAAGAACACAGAGAAAGAAGAGGCAGAGGGAAAGCAGGGCCACCTCCATCTGGACTTCCTACATTAAGCAGTAATGAGGACGGTGCCTGCCACAGCATCGGCTAGGGAGCCTTCTGGACAATATAGAGGGGGCACCACTTGATGCTTCTGGTCTACAGCTCAAAACTCACCTGTCAACTTGCTGGAGATCCCACACACGTCTTTCAGACACACACATTCACGCACAAGCGACCACCGGGAACCACATGCTGATCTTGTTTTGCTGCTGATTGACTGGTCCGCTTTTGCATATATAGCCCTGTGTGGTAGGCAGCCCACACCTTTTCTAGCCTATTACCCACCGAAAGGAGCAGTTGTGATGACTGAGCAGAGCATGTCCAAGGCCATTTTCCTACCACACTTGACCATGGCAGGGAACGTGTGGGGCTCCCTCCAGCAGGCTGCAGCTATATAATGACCTATGCCCTCTTCTCCTGCCTGCAGTTGGCATTTGGCTGATCTGGAATAGTAGGAGTGGCACTAAAAATCTCTTTCTTGTCTGAGGGATTTGGCTAATGAGGAGACTGGCTGTCAGAGGCAAGGTAACTGGGCCAGAAAGCAGAACTCTCACTTTATTCCCATACTTGAGTCGGTCCTGGATCCCTAGAGATGGATCTGCACCTCCTAGGAGAACCGCTGCCATCAGAGTCTCCAGCAGACTGCACTGCCTTTCATTGATGGTGCTTTCCAGCATCTATTTTCTCCATTTATTCTATTTCAAGTGGTTCAATTTAATCGTTGTTTCAATGGAGAGGTCTTTGGCAGACAGGGTTTGTAACTAACTGGGCACTGTCTCTTCCTTCTCTTGGAATCACCACAGAGAAGAGATATGGACCATGGTTGTGCGGATAAAGCAAGCATCAGATAGAAAGCGCTTAAAAACAGTTATTGGTCCTAGTAGGAAATGACAGATGGCAGATAAAGTCTCAAAAAGGGATCCTCACTCAACCAGCTTCCAAGGCTAGGCTGGAGCTGGGGCATTTCCCATCTGAGAGGCCCTGTGAACTGGTTAGCATCAGTCCCTTAGGGCCAAATGAAACAGGACCTTTTCCCCAGGATGCTTGGCCAAGCCTTCCTGGGGGTCCAGTACATCTCAACCCACTGCACAGATAGGTATAAAGCAAAACTAAGCTTTGCATGGGCAATCAATCATGAGGATGGCTGTAAGCAAGCAAGTTGTCAGGGTTGTTCAGGCACATTAGGAGGTGCAGCATTTGTGCATTAATTCAAAGCGGGAAACTAACAGAAAGCAGAGGCAGCCATACCTGGGATGGCTGTGGGCTGGGCCGAGGTCCTGAACACGAAGTGAGCTGCCTTGGACTTTCCTTGCTGGTTCTCAGCCACCACGTAGACCTCATACTCAGCATTCCAGTCCAGGGACTTGAGCATGACGTGGTCACTGCCAGACGGGAGCCTGATCTCTGGTTTCCAGTCGGAGGAGAGTTTCTGGGAGAAACCAGCAAAAAGAATACTAGACACCAGAAAGCTTTAGACAAAAACACTGATAAGACAAGCTAATAGGCAGAAATTAAGGGGATCAAAAAGTGTTGGTGCAAAATCATAAAAATAAAATCAATGATACAACATGGCCTGAAAATTCGTAGCGATGACACAGGTTAAGAGGTCAGCCTTGTGTGTTTGCAAATACCAACAGCAGCAGATTCCAGTGTGGTGTTCAATGTCCTATTATGTTCAGGGATGCAGGGACTCAAGTACCACCGCAGGCTACACTTTGGAATGCTGGGCACATATGCATAAGGATGTGCTAGAAGAGTAATAAGACAAATATGTTTCTTGTCATATTTCAGAATGCTACTCACCTTCACATATGACTCACCTCCCTGACATGTGAACACTGTGCACAGATTCCAGTTTTATTAAAAATAAAAGCTATGATTATTGAGCATCTACTATGTGCCAGATGCTATCTAATCTAAAGGCTTTCCACACATTTTCTCACTGTATCCCTACAACAAGCTTGTATGTGTGTGTGTGTGTGTGTGTGTGTGTTTACTAAACCTGATGAGGGGGAAGTGAGAGAGAAGTTAGGTGATAAAACTAAAGTCACCCACAGTCAAGGCTGGAGCCAAGTCTGTCTGGGCCCAAATCTGTGATCTTTCCTTTCCATAGTATGGAGCTCAAGAAACATCTGTTGACCTGAGTTAGATTTTTCTGCTCCATGCTATGTGTCCTGGTCTCTCCACCTGTAGCTCCATAGATGAGGCATCTCAGTCATAAGTTCTGCTGTTGGGTTCAACACTGGGAAGCTGGAAGATTCTCTCTGGTTATAATCTACACATTGACCAACGAGTTTATCCTGGATGGAAGTTTATAAAGCCACTGTTAGGTGACTACCTCCCTAACAAAACAGTTGTGGAAGAAGACCTCCTGAGAAGTCTTCAGAGGATTTCACAACTGCACAGCCCACCTCTTCACAATCTTTGGTCTTCTCACCAGGCATATGCCCCACGGTATATGAACACAAGAAGGCTTGACAAGTGTTTACTGCTTGGAAGAGCAGAACACGGTGGCAATGTCAAGTGGAAGGTGATCTAGCAGCTGCTGGCCCATGGCTGAGGGTGGGCGAAGAGCTATCTTACAGGAAAGCAGTCTTCCCAGGCAAAATGACTTGTACCAGCCAAAGAGATGCCTTTAAGGAAGGTTGCAGCAATCATGCCATGGCCTGTGATTATTATGGGGAAATACTAGAAGGAGAATACTAGTTTCCTTTGAGTCTAATCAGGAAGCCTGTGCTGTGCTGTAAGTCAGCTTGGGAGTATTTTACTATGGAGCCCCCTTTTAATTTAAGACAAAGAAATTGAGCTGTCTGTCTTTTTTTCCTCTGTTTTCCTTCGCAAACGTCATTACAAAAAAGATCACCAGAATACAAAGCAAACACTTAAAAAAGCAAATGTTGTGTTATATAATACTTAATGTATGAAAATATTTAGCAAACTAAGTTTTTGAAGTGAGTGAGAGAGGATGGTTAAGGTTTTTGAAATCTAACATATCTGTGTTTTTTCCCAGTTGTCTTTTTAACACAGACCTGCCTGGCACAGCCAAGATGGCTCTTCAGGCAAACTGATACCCTAGGGGCCTCATATGGGAGATATTTCCAGCCCGAGTCTGTATCTTAGTAGTAGCTATAGTTACCGTTTACAGAGGTTTCTGAGTGGCAGGCACATTTCAGCTTCTTTGCGTACATTATAACTAATCTTTACAAAAACTCCATCGGCTATTTTACCCCCACCTTTCAGATGGAGAAATTGAGTTTTGGAAGATTGGGTGACCCATCCAGGTCATATATTGATAAGTGATAAAGCTGGAATTGGATGCCATATCTGTCTGGTACTAAAACCGACATTCTGTCCACTGGGCCTAGGCCATATCAGCATAACAATGGCCAGAGGCATCCCACCCTACCACATCTTCTGCTTTCAGTGGGGTAGGTGGGGCCACCTGCTCAGTCTTTGCATTCTACTCTGCAGTGAGGAAGTCACAGGGACCTCTCATTTAGTGGTACCTCTGGGTTGGGCCTAGGGAAGTTGATCAAAGCTTTTCTTATTATGTCAGCTTGCACCTGGCTTAGGAGTTGGGTGAGAGAGAGCACTGAATGGATAGATAGCCCTTCCCACCAGCTGAGAAGCACGCCTGTAAGGCTCTGTGCTATTGACTCTCCAGAAGCCTAAGCAGTTAAAGGCCCACCCTTTGATGGGGGCTGATCTCAAGTCAACTCCCTGGAAAAAGCATTTTTGGGTGCTATTTGAAGAAAGAAAACTGCGAGCTGAGAAGCACGCCTGTAAGGCTCTGTGCTATTGACTCTCCAGAAGCCTAAGCAGTTAAAGGCCCACCCTTTGATGGGGGGTGATCTCAAGTCAACTCCCTGGAAAAAGCATTTTTGGGTGCTATTTGAAGAAAGAAAACTGCTCTCTGGTTCATTATTTTCTATGACAAAGAAACCCTAGCAAGAAGCTATTCCCAGTGCTCAGATACTGTCTCTGAATCTCTCAGCAATTGGTTGGGGTTGTCCACAGTCAAGTGTATTCTGAAACCAAAACCCCAGTTTGGAGTTGGGAGGAAAGATGGAAGACGGAAATCACAGATGGGTGGTGAGTAAACCAGGAAGAAAAGGCTTAGAGCCAAGCTGGCTGTTAGCAGGATTGGAACAGCTCAGGTGGAGAGCAAAGAGCAGGTGAGGAAACTAGCACTGTTTTAGCCTCTCAAGGCAGCCCAGGCAGCAGTAAGAACACAGTCTGCTCAGTCAGACAGACCTGGGTTCACACTCCAGCTCTCCCAGCCATGTGCGATCGGGCAGTCACTAAGTGCCGTGAGCCCAGTTACTCCATCTCTAAAGTGGGGATCATCATAGGACCCACTTCACAGGGTCCTTGTGCAGAGAACATGCATGTGATCACACTGTGTTCACATGGTGCCTGGCCCACACACAATACACACTTTATCAAACCTAGTGGTTACTCCATGTTAGCACCACATTTGCAAAAACTACTGGATGATAGCAAAATAACTGTAGAAAAGTTCAACAGGTCGAAAAATTAATGCGGTACGAGTTTGTCCCCACCACAATCATCTTAGAGGTTTTAAGATGGTCCCAGTGTGGACACGGCCTAACAGCTGTAGGTCAGTCTTGGGATTTAAAACTCTGACCAGGACGCATGAGCCACCTGCAAGGCACAGATCGAGATCTTGTCCCACCCCCACCCCCCGGGACTTTGCGTGTTGTTGCCCTAACAAGGTGGGTGCCAAGGTCAAGGGGTTGGGGGTGGAGGTTGGGGAAGAGGCCACTCACCGCTCGGTACTTGACCAGATAGTGTCTTATGGGGGAGCCGCCGTCATCCTGCTTGATGAGGTTCACCTTAATAGAGTTTCCGTCCTCTCCCATCTGTCCTTCAAGCTTAGGTGCACTGGGTTCCCCTGAAACAGCCAGGGAATTCACATGAAATTTTCATCCACAGAATGAAAATCCAATCCATCAGAACAGGATGGAGTGACGGGGTGGGGCTGGACACTTTTTCTTGCTCTGTCAGGATTTCAAATGGTTAAAAAGGAATAAGTATAAAACTATGAATTCCAGACAGATGCCTCAGACTTAGCCCAAACTGGGAATGCCTTTTGGAACTGTTCTGGAAACAGCCTCCTGACCTGCGTGGCCCTTTTATCACTTTAGTTTCAGGCCTTTTTCTGTCTTTCTCATTGGTACTTGCATTTCCATTTGGCTGCCCTTCCAACTGCAGAGTTAATTTTTATAAACCTGACACATCTTGAGAAGCAGCCTGAAGTAGGGGAAAATCTAAGTGTTTGAGTAGAAAACTTACACAGGCAACATTATTTTTCAAAACAGTCCAGTTTCTTTTCTGGATACATCACTCACCCAGGGGTCCGTGGGCTTGGCCCCTAAAGGGAGTGAATATGCTGCGTTCTTGTGACTAGCTTTTCAGGAATTAAATTTTATTACTTAGATTCATTTAAAAAAAAATAACAAGTTTCCAGCTGTGATTAAATAAAGCACAATTTGCCATAGGCAAGTTTCTTGTAAGTATCCTGCACTTACTGCTCAACGGAGTGAGTGATAATCCTTGACATTTTAATGTATTAAAGTAACAATCATCAGTCTTTTTCTTTGTGAGAGGAGAGAGAAAAAAATTGTCTTCAGCATTTCTCAACAGAAAAAAAGTCTACGTTTCTCTTTATTTGCAGCACACGCTCAGTTTGTAGCACTGTGAATCCAGGGTTGGGAAAGAAAATGATCTTGTATGTGGTTGACTACCCAGGCTGGTATGTTTCTTCAGCGAGTGAGATGCAGATTTACTTTAAGAAAGACTATTTCACTAGCATATGCTGAAAGCAATGAGGTGAGGGAACAGATAGTATCAAAAGTTAAAATTAAGATTTAACATACTTGGGAATCTCGCACCTCCTGCAAGGAGCTACCTCTGTATCTATTTCATGACATCAGAGAGAAAACCTAGAAACGCTACAAAACAGCTGCCTTCTGGTGGGTCACCTTGGCTTGCTTTCTGGGTAGCAGAATCACAGACATGTGACAGAAGAGCCAGGAAAAGGCCTGTCACCAGGCCTTGGACCTAATTACCCCAACCTGCACCACTGGCCATTTATGAGAAGGCTGCTGGCAAAGCCAGTGTCTAGCCTGGCTGTCCTCATTCAGCTCCTCCTCCCTTGGATACAAAAAGGAAGTGGAGAGAGGAAGCTACCCTAGAGCCCTGCTACTTACAATCCTAGGGCCAGCAGCATGCACAACACCTGGGAGCTTATGATAGGGACAGACTCTCCCTGCACCAAGATCCCTTGGTGACGTGTGCACTTTTAGGTTTGAAAAATAGTTGCTACGGAGACACATAAAAGCTGCAACAGGGAAGATACATAACGGTGACGTCTGAGGGACATTAAGGAAATGTTGTGCTTATTATTTGTTTTCTTCAACCAGAAATAAGGGAAAGGTAAAAACAGAAAAAAAAAAAAGATAAATCGGCTTCAGGCAAAGACTTGCTCTCTTTTTAAGCCACTATCCAGCTACTGGCCCCAACCACTCCGTGGCAAATATTTAGAAATTTGGTTTAGATATGTCAAGGTATGTAGGCTTTCCAAATTCCTATGCACTGTTCTAAGTCTTAGACAAAATAATCCAGGTATGTCTATATCATTATAAATATCCAGAGCTAGAAAGCAACTCAAAGCGGAGTATATTCTAGAGCATGGCAGGAGCTCCGTGGAGATTCTGCTGCTGCTGAGCAAATGGGAAAATGAGGCACAGCAGAGCACTACAAATTCTGTTCTCTGCCTGAATTGGGGTGACCAACTCATTCTGAGTACCTGGAACATTTAAGTTTTAGCAATGCAAGTTCATCATCCTGGGAAACCCCTCAGTCCCATGCAAATTGGAATGCCTGGTGACTAAACTGAATGAAGATGGACATTAATCATGCTAACTTTCTGCCCTTCAGCATCACAACACCGACTCTGTGTGGAACAGCCTATTTGCCTTAGGGAGAAGGGGACTTTCATCGGGCAGCCTTAGTGGCCCTTCCAACACCCCAGCAGGTGAGGGCCACCTCCTCCCCTTCAAGGTCTCATTGGAAGGTGTGTAGAGATCAGTCCAAAGGGGCTGCTCTGGCTCCACCTCCCTTCCTGCTTCCTCTCGGAGTTGAGAAGTGTGTGTTTCCAAGGCTGAATTAATACCACAAAACACGTTCTCTGAACTCTGCTTCCTGAGGGGTCCGTTGCCTCGGCCAAGTCACTGCCTTGGTTTCCACATTTGCAAAACATGGGCACTGGATCAAGTGCTCTGTAGGGCTCCTTCCAGCTATCACTATGACACCGTGACAGTCACTGCACTAGAGTGGACTACCAACTACGCCTTGGCTATTTCTCATGACACTGTGAGAAACAGAACACAAAATATATGACCGTCAGCCAACTTTACGCAGATGCACCCCAAGATCAACAATTCCATATCTCTGAGGTATATAGTTGTTAACTTTTTGCTTTAGAATTGTGAAAATGTTACCTCAAAAAAGTCCTATCTTTGAAAAGAGAACTTGATGTTTCTTCAAAGACATATGAACAAAAGTCTGTCCAAGAAATCTCTCCAGAAATAACAGCCCCTATGAAGGTACTCTCTTATCTTTGGATATATTCCAGAAAAAATATAACTGGAATTACAGAAAAAGCACTAAAAACTGTACCATAGTTAGAACATCACTTTAACATTTACATAGTCAGAACACTATAATTTGCTATCATTTTATCTGAGTGACTACCATGTTACTCTGATATGTATGTATCATTTCCCCGTAGAACATAGAGCATTTTATATCAAATAATACTTAGGTGTATTATTTACAATGCTTTACCTATAATTTATTCATCTAATGTGTACTGAGTATCTACTAGGTACCAAGCAGTCTGATAGGTACTGAAGTTTTAATGGTGAATAACACAGTTTCATTTGCCAAATGAAAAAAAAAATTTAGTTATGATCAATTCTTTTAAAAAATGGTGGGACCCCTGGACAAAACAAAAATAACCCTTCCTATGACAGTATTTCTAAAGGAAGATCATATTCAACTAATATCATAGAGATTTTGACCAACTCTGTCTCTGTAGCTTGTACATTAAGAAGTAGAAAGAACAATTGTTCAATCGTCTTACTCATTTGCAAATGTTTACTATCAGCTATTTTTCTTAAAAATCAGAAATGGGGTTAAAGAAATTGTAAGCTCTCTACACAAAGCCTTGCCTGATGAGAGAGGGGCTGTTATGGAAGAAATGGGGACTTGGCATTGAGGAGGTTCATTGCTTTATTGAACACTTTAGCAGAAGAAATGATTTAGAGGGTCCCAATGTGCTCTGTGTTCTGAGATGGCTGCTCTGATTGAAATCATTATGGGTAATTTCAGCAAAACCAATATTGTAATTATTTGTAAATGTTGGTTTGCAATTCAGCAGCAATCGGTAGGTTGCTCCAAGAGGACTCCTGGGGTTAATTACACCCTTTGAGTTTAGCTTCAGCCATGAGTCAAATTTTCCCCCCAAATATTTTATGTAAAGAATAAAACAGCAGTACCTTAAAAATAAGCCTTGCCAACTACAAATATGAAACATTGGACAGTTTTGTTATTTTCTAGCAGAATGTAAACCATGAATGCAAGAAAAAAAGAACCTACTATAGAGGCTACATACCATCAGATATTTCATAGGCAGGTCTTATGAAACCATAATTGAAATGTATATTTCTGGCCACGCAGATTGTAGGTTATTCCTTTGTAATTACTGTGCTACTGTGGCCTTAAATCTCAGTCTGCTTTATGCCCTTCCTCTCATCAGCAGAAACTCTTGGGTTAGAAAACTACTGCTGAACATCTGAATTTCACAACAAAAATTATAGCAAGTCCACGGCGTTTGGACAGCATTTGTGAATTCTAGAAGAAAAACAACATTCTCCTTACTCAAAGGAGCCAAGGACCAAGAGTTGCATCTTCTGAATGAAATGCAAACGGGCTTCCCTGAGAAAGGCTCGATCTGGGCTCTCTGTCCATCCACTCTGTTTTCTCTCCTAATGAGATCTGCACAAAGTTTTGGGTGTCTGAGTGTAAACCAGGAATGGTTGCAGGGCTTACATGAAAATCTTTCACTTGTACTTCAAATAGAATTGGCTGGCATTAAAAATGCGGTTCATTTTGTTTATCCTAACTCCTGTCTCTTTTGGTTGATTATTTTTTATAAGCAACTTGAAACTTGTGCATATCTTTTTACTATCCATTTTTTAAAAATGTCCAAAATGCATAATTTAGCTATTCAAATATGATGCCTATTCAAATTTTTTTTTAGCCCTAGCTAAACAACGGAATCCCATGTGATCTATGCTCCATACTTTCTTGGATCTTTGTAACTTTCGCTGATGCCTCTTTTGGTAACCTACTTGGAGATTCTAGGGATGCCAAGTGGCTTTCTGACAGTCCCAAAGAACAGCCTGACAATGCAAGGATGGCTATCAATTTGTCTTAAGCATCGCTTCCCCCAAATCAGGCCTTTGGAGTGAAGTATTCCTTTTCCCCTGAATTCTTTTCTCTTCGGTGTTAACAACTTGCTTGTGTCAGAGTGACCTGAATCTGTGCCATCCTAGTCTCTGGCTGCAGGGAATGTCAGGATGCAGAATGAGAGGGGATGGACATGGCTGATTCCCCAGCTTTTCCAGAAAAAGGCTGCTTAGCTTTCTGGGGCCAAGCTCACTAAGGAATCTGGTCCATAAATCCTTTCTGGCACCAGTTTTCTCAGGAATTATGAATATGACTGGGTGTGCTGGGGGTAGGGTGGCAAATGGCTATACAAAGTACAAATTAAACAGCAACAAATGAGCTCTGACAGACTGAACCACAAAAATACCCATTCCCTTCTCATGGGTGTCATGAAAACATCCACAGATTAATTGATCAATTATCTTTGTTTCATCATCCTAAAAAGAAAATACGACCACGAAGGTATGGCTTGTGGTTATGGAGCTGATCCAAGCTGAGGAAGTTATGACAGAAATAACTGCTATCACCAACAATTAATTCAGCTCCAGCCTCCAAGGCCACAAAGGGGGTGGTGGTGGGGGGGGGTTGTTCACATCTTCGGTGGTGCTATTTCATGGACATCGGATTAGTTGTGAAGAACAATGAAGCTCCTGGGAAGTTTCAGCCCTCATACTGGTAACCCCAGGGGAGCTGGCAGTTTCCAAAGCCAGCAGCAGCCCTGGGTCCCTGCCCAACGACTTCAGGCCGATCCACATTGCTGCCTTCTTCTCCAGCCCTGCCCGCTAACTCTCTACCCTGGGAACCACCGGTGGAGGGAATCCTTAGAAACAAAGGCAATTAGAGCAGAAACCCTGGCGAAAAGTCTGTGTCGACCTGCCAGTGACGGTGGCAATCCAGACACACTGCTGTAAAAAATAAAAAAGGGAGTGGAAGGGGTGGTTAGTGATGTTTCAGTCTAAGAAGGAAGAGTGGGTGTTAAAGAGTTTAGTTCATCAGAATCAGCGTTTCCTAGTACGAGTCAGTGTCAGTAGCTAAAGAAAAAAAAGATTGTTATGAATGGGCAGCGGTGAGGGCATGCTCCACCATGCAGCACACTGACAGAAGGGGTGCAGGGGGGCTTCTCACCACACACATGCTGGGCAGGGAGAGGGGGTCCCATTTACAGAGTCCTCAGGAGCTGATGGACGATATTATGGCTCCGTGGAGTCACTGGAGGAAGCCCTGCAGTTCCACAATGCCATGATATTAGAAATAAGCTTTTGCATGGGGGGCATTTTAGCTCACCACAGCAAACCCACTTCTGCCACCCCAGGACAGGTGCCTAGGCTTGTCTGTGGTGAACCCCTGCATGCAGAGCTCTGCAGGCTCAGGGGCCAAGTAGCCAAGGAGGACGGTGCTCAATCCTTGTTATAACCACCCTGCTTCTTCTGATTTATCTTACTTCATTCAGTGCTGCTGGCCTCAGTAAACACTGCCCAACTGTACTGAAGGTGGATGGAACATCCCATGCAATTTTTTGGGGGGTGGCGGAGGGTGGACAGGAAACATTGGATTTCATCAATTGTTGGGTGTAAACCCACTGGCAGGAGAAGGACTCCTAGTTCACTTAAACTTTTCTAATTTATGGGGCCGGCCCGTGGCTCACTCGGGAGAGTGCGGTGCTGATAACACCAAGGCCCCGGGTTCGGATCCCATATAGGGATGGCCGGTTAGCTCACTGGCTGAGCGTGGTGCTGACAACACCAAGTCAAGGGTTAAGATCCCCTTACCGGTCATCTTTTAAAAAAAAAAAAAAAAAAAAAACTTTTCTAATTTAGGCCCAATTCACTTTAAATTCTTACTCATGCCCAGGAAAAGGAGGCAATAACCGTCCTTAATTAAGCTTTATTTCTCTCCACCATAGATGCTATTTGCTCTGACCTCACCATTCCCTTAAATTCTATATTAAAGGCCATTTTCTGCTGCTTGCAGCTCACCTGAATAACAAGTCCTCTGCCTGCCTCCTTGCAGATGGCAGGAGAGGATCTGTCCTGGATGGGAACATGATTTGATGAGGGATAATCATAGCTTTGGAATTCCATAAGGCTCTCAGTGATTTTTTTTTTAGTACTGGCCACATTTTTTACTGACAACAAGACCACTGCTAACGAGTGTTTCTAGGGTAACTGCAGGAAACATCTTCATACATTCCTTGCCCTGTCTTTATGCAAGATGTCCGGAAGAGATTTCTTTTCAGAGAAGTGAATTCCTTTCTACCTTGTTAACATTATGCTTTACTTCATTCTGAATTACAGCATTGCACAGAAATGACCAAATTTGTTTTAAAAAAGAAACTAAAGGGTTTGAAATCCAACATCCAGCCTCTGCTCACACTTAAGATTTCATGAGGAAGGCCCAGACTTTTTCCAGAACATCAGCCACTGAGCAGTATCCACCTGTCTGGGATAAAGTCTGCTCCTGTTGATGGTTAACCTTAGGGAAATAACGATACCACAATATTCTGGATAGGACTTGGGAGTTTAGAAAATCTTAGGCTCCCAATATGCTCTGCCCTAAGACTCACAGATTAAGATAATTTTTTAAGGTAGGCCAAATTTACCAGAGTGGACTACATCAAATGTTGTCCTGCTTTGGGGACATTTCCCACTTTATTTCATACAATGTAAATATCAAACATCTCCTTTTTGAAAATGAGGGTAGCTCCTGTGCAAGCCCAGGAGTCTGGCTGTAAATGGGACTAAATCGGGGCAAAGCTGCCATACATATAAGCTGAAGTCCTCAGAGATGTCAATGTGAGGGTGAACAGAGGGATCAGGGCTAACACACGCAGGGAGTACGAAACGAAAGGACAGACCAGGGACAAAGAACATGCAAAAGGAGTTGTTGACGGTTTTGTCCCTGTGCATGTCACCCAATCAGTTCTCAGAGAAGCGAGGTCAAATGGGAGACCGCTTGCATGCATGGGCACACGGAACTGTTATTGGTATTAGTTTTGCTTTCGTGATCAATGCAGCCCATAGGTATCTCAGGCTGTGATCGGAAGTGAAAATTTTCAGTTAGGAGAGAACGAAATGTGTATAACTTCCAGGGCAGCTTCTGAACAGGTGTTTGATTTTAGTGGGGGAAGCTGTGAGCAGAGGCTTCCTTCTCTCTTTATGGTAAGTGAGAAATGTTTTAACAAGGTTGTGACAGTCACAATATTAACTAATTATTTTGTCACTGCTATGTACTTAATTAGGCTATAATTTTATTTCCTTTGCTGCAAGGGTCAATCACGTGCTTCTTGATTACACAGAGATCTCCAGTCATGGTAATCGCTGAGTGACTTTTCCTTTGATTTTTGCCCCTTGCCTGGGGGAGGGCCACTCTTGAAAAGTGACACCTCAGTAATCACAGCCAAACTGCTCTAATCCAAATTCTTAAATCCCTTATTTGAGAAAGTCCTCAATTTGCACGAATTTTATGAAGCACTCTCATTGGTTTTGAACAAATATAACCTTTGCAATTGATACATTTCTCTCTGTAGCACTTCAAGGTTGTAATCATTTTTATAGAATGTGACTCATTTTACAACAACTATGGTTTTTAGAACTGCTGGATACAGTTAAATCACAATGCTAATTTACAAAACACCTTTCTGGGAAATAATTTTTGTGAACTATCTGGTAAAAATTCAAGTCTGCAAATTGTGTTCTGGCTAACGTGGTTTTACTGTGGAGAGCAGTTTGTGTGACGAAATTCCTTGAAGCAAAATATTAAACCAAAGGCTGTTATGATATCAAATTGTCATGTCAAGGTTGCAAGGAATGATGAATTCTGGATGTAAATTGAGAACAAGAGGAAATCTCTCAAATGGCTTTGCTTAGGAAATCTGAGACAGGAAGAAATGAGTGGGCTGTGGTCCCAGATTTATTTCACTAATCAGAACAAAGAGGTTTACCTTCTGTTCCCCAGCGTGGACGACATCATCAGCACCATGCAAGCCACATGACAAAGTCACATGATACGCACGCACATGATTGGTTGAAAGGAAAGTGGAGGAGGTCACATGGAAAATACAAAAAAATTAAAAACTGATGTAAACAATGGGCAGGGAGAAAAATCAACAACAAAATCACAGACTAAATAAAAGGAGAAATCAAATCAAATTAGCAGCATATATAAGACACATTGGGAGGACAGTAAAACTGCCCAGAAACAGGAGAATAATAAGTCATAAAAAGCATTTGGTTAACAACACCAATAAGCATTAGACATGGCTGCAACACTGCATATTAATACCACATCAAGGAGCATGTACACCCGTTTAAAATGGGGAGTGTTTCTGTCTGGACCCAGATGTCAAAGTCAATCCAGGAGACTGTTAAAGGAAAAGAGAAAAGCAAGTTATTATTCACAGATTCCAGAAATGTCTCAGCATCCTTGGGAAACAAAGGCAATGAAACAGAACATGGGTCATCAAGGAAAATTCTGGAGATTTTTAAGGCATAGATTGTGTGCCCTGGAAGAACAAAAGATTGCATTAAATTAAGAAAAGTCATTTCACATTTGCTCTGATATAACAAGGAGATGGAGTACGAGCAGTAGGAGGCTGGGTACATGCAGGCCAGAGATGGCGGCCTTGAGGATCCTATCTCACCTCTGTATCTGCACACCCACATGATTCCTCAAACCCTGGTGGGACTCCCTGCCATCAAGACCCATAGGAAGAAAGAGGCCAGTGCAGACCAGGGAATAGGTTTCCTTCTAGCAGTTCAGATAATGGCTCAGTTGACATTAAACAGCAGAAACTGAACCCCTGGTCCAATGAGCTAAAAGTCTGATATTAAACAAATGCGTGCCCATTTGTGGATCAAGCTGTATCTTTAGACTTGTGGCTGTATTGATAAGACCCAAATTTGAGATTTACAATGAAAAAACTAGTTTTCTTGTGTGGATTTATCTACGTTCCAATTTGTGACTGAACGACCCTGACTTGTTAAAAGGCACTTGGGGTTTCCCACCATAACTTTCACAGGCCAGGGTAAGTTTTGGTCATTCCCAGTTGAGGCGAAGAGAAAAGGGCAAAGAAGGGAGAAGAAGATAGCTTTCTGCCCAAAGCATGACACTGATTACCAATGATTCCAGAGAAATGCTTTAACCAAGTGACATATTCCCTTGCCACTGTGAGCTGCTAGTACATGCACTTCTTAATGTCTTATATTATGCAAGTTCTGGCACATTCCTACAAGGGTGCCCTGCAGGGATTATATATGACTGAGCAATTTCTCTTTTATTTAGGATATCTTTATTCATTCATAATTATAAATGGGTCAATACACACACATACATACACACAAGCAAAACTAGGAGATATTCTTTATTTTCACCTCCACTGATTGACTGATGATGGATGGATTTTCCCATGCTCATAGCTACTCTGCTATCACTGCAATTGACATGTGATACATTTTGTCTTACTGGTAAGGAATATGTTGATGCTAAATGTAGGCTGCTGCCCAATTGTGACTGTCTTTACTTATCTCTGTATCCTCTGGGACCTACAATTTGGGTCAGTAGTCAAGTGGTTCAAAACAAAAAAGACTCAAACTGGCTTCCCTTTGGATGCCACAACTAAGCATTTTATCTGTGGGCAGAAATGTCTAATGTTTAAAAATTCAAGACATATCAGGGCAGAAACACCTAATTCCTTCTCCAGGAAACATCTGGAAGCAAGGCTGTGTTTCACTAACAGAGAAGACCAACCCACAGTAAGTCACCTTAAATACAACACAGTTATGCAAATGTATTATGTAGCTTTCTCCTACTGTACTGCACCAGCCGGAAAAACAGGATCAACACTCCTAGAAGAAGGGGCACTGTTAGCCGCATTCCTTCTCCAAATGCAAGAAAAACCCATCATTGGAATTAAACCCATGCGAGCACAGCTCATTGTCATCCGCTCTGCTCTGCTGACAAAATGAAACCTCAAAAGCATCAGGAATTAAAATTCACCGCAGCACACACACAGAACATTAAGAAAGCAGACCCTTAGTTGGGTTCTGCAGTAGGAAAAAGAACCGTCTCATGCAACATGCAGAATCAGGAAACTCTTTGCTTCTCTGTTCAGTTATGTATCTGAAGCCTTGGGCAGGAGCACACCTGCTTTCTGCCTTCTTGCTCTGACTACAGCTCAATGGGATGCAGGCAGTTTTTTCTGTGTACCCAGAAATAGAACAAAATCTAAACCTCCCATACAGCTTTAGTGCCTGAACACTATAAAAATGCACACATACTCTTGTAGACTTGTCAGGGAATTTAAGTCCTCAACACACATCTTACTTCATTAGAATGTTATAAAAACCAGCTTGGAGCACGTTACAGTGGTGATTCAGTGTAATGTTTTCCATAATGGAAAAAGAGGATACAGTCTGGCCCTTCACTCTATTGTCAAGAGATGAATTCCAGCACTTTATCTGGACTCTCAACCCAGAGAGAGCCTAGGTTGGGCTTCTTCATCCCACCATTTTTCCAGCACTAAGGTGAAAGCCTGAAAGCAGACAGAAGGAAGGAGGGCTCTCCTTCCCATAGGTGCTCTGTGTACGGCGAGACAAAGGAGGGCACACTGCGGGAAGCAGGGACTCCTTCCTTCTCTGCATCATCCTCTACTTCTCCCCAAGCAGCGTTTTCTCCTTCCCTGGTTCTCAGTCTTCTTTGTTAGCATCCATGTGTGAATGTGCATGTGTATGCATGTGTATGCGCATGAGTGTGTGCATGTGTGCGTGTGTATTTCAGAGAAAGGGACAGCAAAAACTGGAAAGGAGATGCCGTTCTTTTGTCTCCTCAGCATTTCCCTGATCCTTTTCTATTTTTAACTGAAGAGTCGATTTGAAAACGCTTCCTCACGCACAGAGTGTTCTTCAAATCATCACCCCAATTCTTTGGTGATGCTTGCTTTGCTCTCTTGGCCAAGCAGACAGCATGCTTAAGAAATCACACCAGGCTCGGAGCCTTCATGCATTCACAACTGTTGCTTTGAATAAAGGGAAAATGACAGGCAGCACCGTAACCAGAAGTCAGCTGTAAAGCAAGCAGCAATCAGAGGTCTGGCCGAGAGCAGCTCAGCTCTGTACTCACTAGCTGGTTCTGTGCTTGTAAGGGCAGGAAGAGGCCAGGTTGCTATGGAAACATGAAGGACAGAAAGGGCACAGAAAGGTGAAGGAGATAATGGAGATAAATTCAATTCAGAAATATATATGTATTTATATATGAGAGTACTTCAAAAAATTCATGGAAAGATTTGTATTATCTTTCAATTCTATTTTTCCATAAACTTTTTGAAGTATCCTTACGTTTATGTGTATATTATATACAGGCATTATTATAAAGAAAAGACAGAGATGGTGAAGGAGATATTCCCTCACTCCCTTCTTTCCTTATTTATCAATATTAATATAAAATTTTAAAGAGATCATCAGAGATTTTGCCGACAAATGACTCTCACACAGTGAGAAATAACATAATGCTCATTAATTCCAGCTGTTACATGCTGGGCATTGTGTCTGTGTTTTTCACATTTAATCCCTAATTTTCACGAACACCAACGAGGTCACTGGAATCTATCCTTCACTTTAGAGATGAGATATCTGAGATGTGCCGAGGCCGAGTGAGTCATCCGAGGTTACGGAGCGGCAGAAGTAGTAAAGCTGGGGTTTGAACCCAAGTCTGTCTGGTTCCAAAGCCTGAACCCCTTCTGCTATATGCACTGCCTGAAAAAGCACCACATGGGTTGGTGGGCATATTTTTGAGTCAAACAGATGATAACAAGGAACTTTTGAGCTTGTGGCTTGAGTCACCTCCTGGGGCTGGGCCCAAATTGCAAGGGCTTCTGACACAAGGAGAATGGAGCCAACCAGGCCGTGCCACCCTGCCTGCGTACCTGCGCTTCCCGCTGCTCTGAGTGCATGTTGGCATTATATCCTGTGCCTTACTAAGGTCCTGCTGCCTCATGTTGCTCCTACCTCCTAGAAAGCTAGGCTCAAAACTCCAAATCATGGCAGGCCTGCAGCACTCTCTACTCCCGAGGCTTCAAGGGAACAAAAGGACAGGGTGGCAAAATGAAGAAGGGTTGGAAATGAGCCAGGCCCAGCCAGGATGACAAAGCCTGAGACTGACAGTCGACATTACTGTTGACTCAGTGGTACTGATCCAGGGTGGGCAGGTGGAGCTCAACCAACATGGTAACGTTTGTTTTCTGTAGGGGTGTGGTGGAGGGTGACTATGCATGCCATTTTAGAGAGGAGAAAAGTGAGGCTCACTTTGAAGGGTTAAGCAATTTGCCTAAGCACCTGCTGCCAGCAGACACTGTTTATTTTTCCACAAATATTTACGAGAAATGTATGCATTTATGGAGAAAGCAAAAGTTATAGGCCTCACTGTCTAATTTGAATGTCTGAATCCAACTGTGCCAATTAAACACACTACCCAAAAACATATTTCATGACCCTGCAGAGCTGATATTTTTCTTGGTGAATTCCTTTGGCTTCTGCAAATACTAGCTTTGGTACAGCCCACCCAGGGTCCTGAGGACAGGGCCGGCTGCGGCAGCCTCAGGGGGCCTGTCTGCAGGGTTTTCTATCCAGAGCAATGCTTTCCATTTGCCTCCCCTTTGGTGGAGGCTGCCTCCCATGGATCTGAGAAGCCCTATACCTATTTCTCTTCTCATTTGCTTCTCTAAAATATGACGCTGCTTTCTGCTGACAGAGTTGAATTATCACCTGGTGAAGGAGATAACATTAGGCAGAACGAATCGTGGCTGGTGGAAAGAAACCTGCAGAGAGGTGGATGAAGAAAATGATACTCACTATCTGGTGGAGACAATGGAACAGGGGTAGAAGAGCTAGCAGGAGCCACTGAAGAAAGAAAAACGAAGGTAAAAAAAAGAAAGGAAAAAGCTCATTTCAGCACACAGATACTGAATGGGAAAATAAAGGTGACAGTATGAGGAGCTGAAGCAAGTTAGAGCGGGGGAAGAAAACACCATGCATGGAACAGGTGGCCAGCAGAGAGCAGGGCTCCAACTTCAAACCGTGAGCTGTGCACCTGCCAAACTCTGTGGTTCAGGTAAGGGATTGGGCCAGAAACAGCTGCAGAGGCCTTAAACCCTGACTGAAAACAGCCAGCCAGTTCAGCAGGACCAGCTGTCTCCACAGGATCAGAGGTCCAGGAGGAAAGGGACCCTGGACCTCAGCTTAAGGTGAACAAGTAAAGGAGAAAAATAGTTTGCTTTTCATGTTACCTATCTATATATGTGTTAATATATAGGCATATGTTTACATATATGGCACATATTTATAGCAAAAGTTATAGTCCTCACTCTCTATAATTTCAACATTCCAATTAAATGGGGAAATGGACATCCTACTTGATGTTTGCTACTGGGTCAAGTTCATGATTGTCATATGATCAACACTGCCTTCCAAAAAAACCCCCTAGAGATGTGATTATCTAGATGCTGCTATAGAATAGCGATGCAAATAATGTCCAGTGTTATTCTTGCTCCCCCAGAGAAAGGAAATGTTGAAAACAATGGGGCTAAACAAGCAACGCTAGACAATTTTCTGCATGGAGGATGGTTAGAAATTGTGCATCTGAGACAGTGGGGCACTGAATGGATCTTTAGTTTTTCATTGGCAAATATTCAGAAGTTGTCCCATCAACAATCACGAAACAAAGTGCCCTTTGAGAGCTAGATGAAAATTTGGAAAAAACATCAACATGTCTCCAATACTGCCTTCATACTCATGGTTTGGTCCTCCTTTACCTTCCAGACAAGGGTATCTCATTAAACCATGAGAGTATGATGTCACTGGAATCAGAGAAAGACAGGCTACTAACTCTTCATGATTGGATGGTCTGGGTAATTCAGATGAAAGCGCCTTTTTCCTTCTCTCCCTCTTTTAATTTTCTGGCTTGACGTGTTTGAATAATTGTCCATACTATTCTGGCAAAGGATTGGGATTTTATGTGCTTTAACCACATATATTACAACACTTTAACTTATACTTGCGAAGTGCCATCCAGGGGACAACATGTAAAACAAAAATCTCAAGATGCCTCTTTTAAGAAGTAGAGACTCATGCCTAATCTCTACACCCTGAAAGAAATCTTCTATTTTGCTTCATGGTGCAGAAGCTGATTAAGAGGTAACACTCAGGTGATGAAATTCTTCAGGTGTGGAGCTCAGTCATGGAGGAAAAGATTCACAATAAATCGTAAGCAGTTCTGGCAGGAAAGCAGCCCCTCCCAAGGTAGAGGTTGTGAGCTTTCCACCTAAGTGTCTCGATGGCACACAGACGCCTGGCTTAAAAATACATGAAACAGGAACATTTCCCCAGGGAAGAGTTTTATTGGTTTGTTGAGAGTCACAGCTTCCCCATTACCTTCATGTGCATTTATGAACTTCACGCACACAAAGGCACCTCCAAACAGGTAAGCGATGCTTTCTAATCCAGCAGCATGTAAGCGGGAGTCCCTTAGGTGTACATGGTTTTTGCTAGTTTTACCTGCTCATCTCTGCTTTGATACATTCATGCCCCTGAATGTGGAGAAGTCTATTGAGGAACCAAGAAAGCAACCCCATTACTGAGACATCTCAACAAACTTCAAGTGATGAGTTAATGCCAAATGTCCTGGCCTCACCTAACACCTCACAATCCAGGGGTCCAGCAGCAATGCCTTTCTGTCCAGTATGACAGCCCCTGCTGGCCTGTGCCTCCTCTTCCTTGGGGCTGAGGGTGCCTCCAGAGCCCAATTTCAATGCCATGGGATCAGGCTGTACATATGAACCCCAACAGTATTACAGCTCTGTCCAGTATGACAGCCCCTGCTGGCCTGTGCCTCCTCTTCCTTGGGGCTGAGGGTGCCCCCAGAGCCCAATTTCAATGCCATGGGATCAGGCTGTACATATGAACCCCAACAGTATTACAGGACAAGGGTGCACTGTTAGTAGGTGAGATAAGCCAGGGTCAGAAGCCACTGCCATTGGTTCTTGGGTCCAGTGCAAGCACACAGCTAAACTGACAGCTGCTTCTCTTTACTTAAATTCAGATGACCTTTGTGCATTCCAAGGAAGGGGAGTGAGAACTCAGAGAAGGTCTTTCCTAAGACTTGCTCTCACTTCCTAGTAGCGAAAAGTGGGTTTTGTCACAGCAGTGGTAATTGCTACCATCACCCTCCCAACAGTACCTCTTTTCAGGATGGTTCTAGGGGCAGCAGGATAGCCCTTGAGCTAGACCCACACTTCAACAACTCTGGCAAGGCTATGATGGTGCAAAGACCATAATAAGGTATTTTTAGTGAGAGCACACAAGGGTACTTCAAAAAGTTCATGGAAAAATTGAATTAGGTAATATAAATCCTTCCATGAACTTTTTATATGTTCCCAAATGTCCACAACTACATCCTGCTAAATTTCTTGAAAAAGGCACACTCCACTGTAAGACTCTATGCCACGGTTTTACTTATCTAAAAGAAGTTTGCTTTTTAATTCTCTAAATCATAGCTTTATCATGTGATTGACAAAAACCGACTTTTTGTGCCGCTAGCAATGCCCACTGCTGTATCATTCATGAGCTTCTTGGTATGAAGAGGAGAACCCAACATTTTCCTAAGTGCTTCTTGGGGTCTTGGTTATTTACCTATTTTCATATTACCAGACAATAAATAATAAGGTCTAGAGGTCTTTTTTTTAAATTAAAAATTTAATTTTTAACACTGACTTTAAAAACACAGCCTCTGCTATATATATAAAAAAACCCAAAAACCAAAAAACCAAAAAACTCACCTTTACAAGGGCTGAGCTTGCAATGAATGAAAACCACTGTGGTTTTTGAAGTCCAAAACCCAGTAACTCTGATGTAGTACTCAAGCTCCAGTCAGAAGCTCAGAAGGATGCCTCATCCCAGCCTTCCTGTCTTTAATTAAACTAAGCCAGCACTCATTTATTGATCTAATCCAGAGGAGAGGAAACCTGAAGACTCAGTTGAAGGACCAACGAATGATCGGTGGAAGGATCCAGAAGGAAGGTTCTCTCATGCTCAGAGCTGCTCCTTCTGAACTCACTTAGGGCACAGCTGCCAGCCCAGAGCAGACAGCTGTCAGTACTACCTGACAACTCCATGCCCCACTCTGACACCTTCCAGAGCTGCTTCATTCAGACACCAACTCTGCTGAGATAGTGGATTTAGCGCTCGCTCAAAATCTCAGAATGCCTACATTTAGCTACTTGGTTTTTGCTGTTGCTGCAATATTTCTGAATAAATTTTAAAAGATAAGCTTCCCTGAGTGCCTTTCAGGAGCTAGGAGTTTTTATGAAATGAGCGTGCAGCTTCTTGAATAACTTTTCTTCTGAGTCTGTCTGGGTAACACTTCCGTCCACTATTTTCTGAGCTCAGCCTAGGAAGGAAGAGCCAGGCCTCCATAAAAGTGAGGCTTAGAGGTGTCAATGCAGGACAAGGGGGTCAGACTACAATTCTGCTCCCTGTAGCAGCAGGCCAGTTCTGTTACCCTTGTTTCCTGTGTCCTCTCTTTACAGCTTACACAATTAGGGTGTCCTTCGCATGGGGAAATCTCCCCACTATATGCTCGGCAGGATGGTTAAGTTAGCTGGTCAGTCTTTTCCAAACGCAAAAATGCACATTGCAAGTAGCCTAGCGTTAATGAACAGAGCTGACCAGAACTGGGGATTTAACACCCCAACAGCTGCCTTCAGGACATGTGCATGACTTGGAATCCAAGTTCAAGTCATATCTTTATAAATGCAGCTGCTGCAGAGGCCTCCTCAACCAGTCCTCCTTTTCCCCACCAGCTACCAACCTGATGGACAGAAAAGCAAGAAAGAAATTGAGCTCAATCCTTTTGTTCCCTAAAAGCAAATGTGAACACCCTTTCAGGTTATTTTCCCTTGAAGGGATTTTGAGCAGCGGCCTGGTGAGGCTGGGCTCACTTTTCTGGCACCCTGGCTAAAGGTGAGGCAGTGCTATAGCGTGTCAGTCAGGGACCACCTGCAGACTTCCACCATGCTAGGTTCAGCAAACATCATCTTTGCCACAGGGTAATCATCACACACAAAGATTAATAAATAAACATGATTTCAAAAAACACAGAAGTTGCATGCTCTAAAACAGTAAGAGTGTTAGCCTTTTGGAGTAACCTACAGACGTTAACAAGAGCACAACTAGACTATAAGGTCAGTGTGGTTAGGGCCCAGACAGTATCATCTACTTCAGCCTCTAGGGGACAAAAAAGGGACCAGAACTAAATTAAGAACTAGGACTAGCAGATGTTAATGCTATGGAAACAGGTAATGAGGTATGAAGAGGCACTTACGTGGAGGAGGGCTATCTGCATTTCCCATGGATGGAACACAGACGAAAAGAAAAGACAAGAGACAGACCCAAGAAAAAAAAATAAGATGTAAAAGAAATGAATAGAATCCGCAGAGTGCATGGAGTTGGAAACTCAAATTATCAAATTACTTCAAATCCAGAAAGAAGCAATTCCTGTAGAGTGAGATGAGACACCTTTTCTACATCTGGGAGGAGGTGAGGGGGTCCCTTTGAAGGCTCTTGGCTCTGAAGGGAAGGCAGCAAAGGATTCTCTCATGAGCATTTTAAATCTGGGGGCGACTCTGTGACCCTCAGGGGTCTAGTTCTATAGCATCTTTTTCTGCTGGGTGGACTCAGGAGCCTCCCAGGGCAGCAGCTGTGGTGTGCAGAAGGATGCTTCGTGCGGGGCTCACCCAAAGCCTGGCTGCTTGCAGGAAGGGAGGGCAGACAGGGCAGGTATAGTGAAGGAGGGAGGGAATGGAGGAGGAAAACAGACACAGCCCTGAATGGCATCAGGGAGAAGCAATTCTCTGATGGGGGCCGTGCGGGAGGGAGACCCTGATAAATGCTCCTGGGGTGGGAGGGGGGAGGAGCAGAAAGGGCAGAGCTGTGGCATCCTTCCCCTTCTGTACTGCAGGGTGTCCTTCTGCCCCCCATGTCCTACAGCAGTCTCTGCTTCCCTGTGACCCCACACCTCTGCAATGAATTATGTGAACGTTGTCGCCTTGGCCCTCTTCCTCCAAGTCACAGGGCACTTAGGGCCTCTGTGGTCAGACTCAAAAAGCAAATCTCTCAAATCCCTCCACAGTGGCTGCTGGTTTTCTCCCTACTCCTGCTGACAATGTGCCGCTGGTTTTCCTTTGCTGGCTATTATTCTAACAAGCTGGGCCTGCCACTAGGATGTCTCCCCAACCCCTTTGAGAAAGAGAGGATGAAGGGACTGTGTGGAAGCCACCACTGAGAGCCAGACAAGTAGGAGGGGGGCCACCCCGAGCAGAGAGATCTGAAAGACAAAAGCTGTCATCTGAACAGGACGTGGGCCAGCACGGGGTGCCCTGCTGTCCCCGGGGAGAAGAGGTGGGCGTGAGGAAGAGGCAGGGCCGCTGGCTGTACTTACGGACTGGCTGCGTCTTGAACTCGGAGGCTGCGCTGATCTCACCCAGCCCCTTGCCGTTGAGGGCGGCCAGTCGCACCGCATATGTCGTCTCAGGCTTCAGGCCCACGATGGTGACAATGCCCTCCATGCTGGCTGTTGTGAGAACATGGGGAGGACCACAGAAGAGTTAAGGGGCTATTGTAAAATGGTGCAGCCGCTCTGGAAAACGGTATGATGGGTCCTCAGAAAACTAAACATGGGATTCTCATTTGATCCAGCAGTACCGCTTCTGGGCACATACACGAAAGAACCGAGATAAGGGACTCAAATAGATACCTAGATACTCATGTTGATAGTGGCAGCATTCACAATAGCCAACAGGTGAAGCAAACCCAAATGACCACTGACAGGTGACTGTGTAAATGAGGCGTGGTATAGACATACAATGGAATATACGCAGCCTTAGAAAGGAAGGAAATTCTGACACAATAAGACTGGGATGAACCTTGAGGACATTATGCTAAGTGAAATAAGCCAATCACAGAAAGACAAATACTGTATGATCCCACTTATATGAGGTACCTAGAGTAGCAAACTACACAAAGACAGAAAGTGGAATGGTGGTTACCAGGGCCTCTGGGGGGTGGGAAAAGGAAATTATTATTCAATAGGTAAAGAGTTTTAGTTTGCGTGATAAAAAAGTTCTGGAGATGAATAGTGGTGCTGGGTGTGACTTAATGTCACTGAGGTGTACACTTACAAATGGTTAGATGTAAAATCTATGGTATGTATATTTTATAATAAAAATAACTAGAATTGGCTTTAAAAATAAAAGAGAAAAGAAAAAAGCCTGGTGGACAGATTGTAACATGAGATCAACCTGCTGCAAAGTCGGTATGAGATTTCAGAAGTCGGGAAGGTAGAGGGACTGCTTCTTTCTCGCTGAGACCCTGACGACACAGCGACCCCTCCTTGATCTGAAGCAGTTTCTGGTGGAACTGACTCTCAGTAAAATTGGATTAGACCATGTCTCTAAATGGCTGTGATACCGACATCCCAGCCCACCCCTAATTCTACCTTAGTTACCACATACCAGATCAGGATTAATAATTCCTACCGATACAAAACATACATCACTTAGTTACTCCACGTAAACCCAGTAGGGAGAGTTAGACATAAATATACTCAAACCTCAGAAGGTCTGGCCTCAGAATCTTCAAACTGCAGTAATCCCAGGGTCATTTCTAAAACCTTTAGCTTGGAAAGATATCATGGGATTGATTTAAGAGCAGGTTTGTCCTGCTAGCTCTGCTTATTTGGTTACTATCACAACCACGTGACAGTCCCTGAGTACAGATACCCATGCAGGACTGGCTGGGTGTGGGCAGAGAGTCCACAGTGCAGGGAACCCAAATATGCAGAGGGGAGGGGGGTGGTACAGTACTCATCGGCTGTGTTCAGCACCTAAGCAGGACTTCTGCCTGCAACATGGTTGAGATGGTCTTATCCATCCTGGCTGGGTCGTGAGAGCCAGGTTCTAAAGCACTGGAGGCAGAGTGCTACCAACTCTACCTGGAAATGTGACCGTGACCTAATTCTCTAGTTCTGGAGGGACACAAACAAGATGGCACATGATGGTATCTGGCATGCTCCAGTAGGTGAGAGTGGTGTGTCAACCCTACCCCAGTGGGCAGCCAGGATCTGGTGAATGCTGGGATGAGTATGTCCCCCAATGCTGAGTACCGAGGCACCCATGGTCCTAAAGGAAGTGCCAAGTCTCCCTGGCTCACCTTCTTTCGCATCATACCACTTGAAATGCCACACTTCTTCACCCATCGCTCTCCACTCAGCCTTGTACTTGAGGATGGGCACCCCACCTGTGGCCTCTGGCTCATCAAACTGCACCTGTGCTGTGCTGGAATACGGCTCCACCTGGTCGATGGATGGTGAAGAGGGGGTGTCTGTGGGAGGACAGATGCGGAGACCCGGGTGAGCCCAGTTTGGCCTGGACCCTAACTCCCAGTCATGAAGCATGCCTCTTTCATTTCCGCTCTCTTTTGGGAATCCTGTCACCTGCATCCTGTCCTCCTGGCCCACCTCATCATATAATTCTCCCCCAACATACCCCATGTTGAGATCCCCATTCCTCTAAGGGCTCCCTGACCTTCTGGCTTTGTTGACCTGGCCCTCCCTTCTTCCTACTCTCCTGGGATCACTGAAGTACAAAAAGTGGGCTGGCGAGGCCGGGGGTGGCGTGGAAGCCACCTAAGGGGCACTCACCTGCTTGGACAAGGATGAACTCCAAGGACTCCTGTCCGATGCGGTTCACTGCAGTGCAGTTGTAGTTGCCAAAATCATTTTCAGAGTCTGGGGTCACCTTTAGAAGGAAGAAGCGCCTGGGTTACAAGTGTCCCATGGGATGGCCACAGACTCAGATCCTCATTTGCTGGATTGAGTTAGTAAAGAACAGAACCAGTAAGGCACGGATCATTAGCTGTAGCCCAGCCCTAAACGAGAGAGGAGAATAGCAGAGGGGCTTTGCGGGGGAGGCACATTCCACCTCCAGTCCCTTCTCTGGCACAGGGGGAGGATCGGGGCAGCGGGGAAAGGTGGCTGTGAGGAGGTTCGGTTTCTTCTCCAGCCAGTGGCTCCCCTGCTCAGCATGTGCCAGGGAAACGAGAGAAGACGTGAGCTGCATTGAGGAGCCCGCCCTAGTCAAACTGCACCTTCTCCACCTGCCCCTGCCCCTCCCTGACTCACCTCCAGGTAGCTGGCAGAGGGGGTGTTGTAGATCTTGATGTTGCTGTAGTTGGAGCTTGGCAGCAGCTGACCATCTCGGAACCATGAAATCGTGGCACTGGGGTAGGCGAATACCTCACAGGTGATGTTCACCTGGTTCCCCTCCCAAGTGTACACAGCCACAGGGCCCTGTAGCTTGGGGGCATCTGCAGTGAATGACAGTGACTATCAGGATGACTGCCCCTACTGTGGAGCCTCCCACATCCTGTCTCCTGGCACTAGGGAAGGCAGGATATGCCCCAAAGCAGAGCTAGTGCCTGGTGTTGTGGAGGTCAAGGTTGTCTCGGTATTCCTGAGCCCCAGCTGGCTTGTAAGAAGCCTGGGGATGGTCTATCGGGGTGGCTTGGGGACACAGCTCTGGATGGCCTAGGGCTAGCTGCCCCAGGGACTGTGAGCAGGGCCCACAGGGTGAGCTTAGGTCCTGGCTGCTGCTCTCCTCTCTCGGCCTGACCGTGCACTGCCCCTCCCTCCCCCGCCTTCCCCCCGGGACTCCTCACATTGCACTTCAAGGTACATGGACTGGGAGTCCTGGCCGATGGTGTTGCTGGCGGTGCAGATGTACTCTCCGGCGTCTGTGTACTGGATGCTCTTCAGGGTCAGGGAGGACACACGGGCGTGGCTGCGCACCACCATGTGCCCGTCCAGAGTCTGCCAGGAGGGGGGTGAGAGTGTCAGAGGCCAAGGCAGGGTGGAGGGCAACGGCAGCTCTAGAAGGGCAGGGACTAGGAGACTAGGCCATCGCTGTCTATGACCAGTCTCACATCCTGTCTCCTCTTTGTGCCAATGTCTACATCTTACTTTAGGTACCACCTAATGCGGGAGGCTCTGGGGAGCACCATGGGAACTTGGGTGTATCCAAAACAAAGAACGGGACTTGGTTATGTCAAGCAGCCTGAACTGTTTCAATGTTGGTTTGGGGCAAGGAAAGGCTGGGTCTCCCAAGATGACTTTGTTTGGGATGTCTAAAACAGAAGCAAGAGCCCTGGCCAGCAGATACTCCTGCAGCAACAGCCTTGCCGCGTGAGATTCTGAAAAACCTGGTCTCTCATCCTTTCCTTCCAGTCTGCCCATCTGCCAGTTCCATGGTGCAAGCACACGTAACAGGAAACTCACATGTGCCCAATGTAAGAAATTATACAAGAAACCCATATTTGTGCAGATGCCTGTCTTTTTGGATGCTTAAAAGTAAAATAATTCTATTCAAAACAAGTCAAACAACTCAAAGCTCAGGAGCTGTTGAGCTGGAGGTGAGGGTCACTGGGTCCCCTCTCCAGGGACAGTGGTACAGACAGCCCAGGCAGAACTGGGATCTTTGACACCACAGTCACCACCACTATCTCATCCTTGATATTGCAGTTGGCTTCCTGAGTCTCTGGAATTGCAATGATTGGTAAAAAAGAGAATACATATGTGAACTGTAAGCAGTGGGTAATGAAATATTTCCAAGGGGTTTTCTCCCTTTACATTGTAACCATTCTAAAATGGTTGCTGGCTCAAGAAAAGTCTGGGCATGTGGCCCAAGTTGAGCTCCTCAAGAAAGGTGGTAATCTGAAGAAGGGGTCTTGCTCCTTGTAGCACATGATACTCTGTACAGATGGCCAGGAGGGTACTCTGCATCTGGCGTCTGCCAGCCCATGGGGTGAGGCATTTAGAGAACAAAAGGACACTTGGCTTCTGGTTCTTTTGATAGGCTGGTTTGGAAGACTATAGCCCAGAACTGCAATGTCATACAGCAGCCAGTCTGGGAAGTCTGAGCAGCACTGTCACATGAAGTCCCTGACAGATCCAGTCCACTTTAGTCATCTAAGCACCATCACATTTCATATGTGAAAGTTAGAACATTCTGCTAATAAGGAAGCAGAAGGGTCAAGGAAAATCATCACTGCCTGCTGCTGTAAGTGCCACTCCTCTCTGAGATAAATGCCCTGATGCTACCATTTGAGCTGTAAATCTATGAGGCATCCCAGGAGATGCCACACATTTATGAGAGATGACAACAGACAGGTGTTGAGTACTTCACCAGAAAGCCTCAAGACATCCGGTTTGCTAGAGACACTAAATCCTGGGACTCCCTTTCTTGTGGGCTGACAGAGCTGTGCTGATACATCTCAGGAGCTATTTTCATGGGCCATAGAAAAATCTTCATCCAAGTCTACACCAGAGGCATCGACAGATGAAGCCACCCATGCAGGTATCCCTAAAGGGCTGACCTGATCTGCATGTCACTCCTAATTTCCCAAAACACAGCAGGACTGAAGGCAGAGGGGTCCACCCTTGGCCTTCACGGTCATCTCAGCAAGGCCAACCAGAGACTGAACAGATGCTTTGTGATACAGCCAGAACTAGTCCTGGGACTGCCACACAGACGTGAAAATCTGACCATAATCCTCAGGAAGTGGAGAACATTTCCATAAGGAAGAGATATTGTAACAAAAGAGGCAAAGAAAGTCATGAAGGCAAGAGTAGGACATTAACAACGACGAAGCAGGGGATGGGATGGACGGTCTTTACTGAGAATTATCTAAAAATGGTGAAGAGAAGCTCAGGAAATGGTTGCTTGGACAGCCATGGTTTTTTTCTTTCTGGTCTCTTTTCCAGAATTTCTCTATGTGGAAATTTCTCTCATTTAATGATGTCAACAGACCAGTAGGTAGCCCTCTTTGGAGAGTTTTTTTGCAGTTTGAGGATGGGATAATTTGCCAGATGCCCAGTTATCCCTTTGAAGACATGCAGATAGAATCTAGTGCGATGGGACTCGCTCCCCTGAAATGTTTTACTCTGGAACCAGGATAAAATCAGGGAGTGCAACGTACAAGCCACCCAGACCAGAAGTTATGATGATGTCCAGGCTCTGCAGGGGGAGCAGATGAGCTCTGGGCAAGAAAACACCTTTTTTCTGAAAACGTATGAAGAGCTATTATAATCATTCGTCTCATCAAAACATTTTTGCTCTAGGTAAAACTGCTAAGCCTTTCTCAGAGCTTATAGAATGAAATTGGCCACAACCCAAGCCTTCTTTTGCACTCTTCTGGACTTATGGTCTTCATCTCTGAGTGAGACAAACAGGAAGGAATGGAACTCCTGAGTCCCAGGGGCAGCATTCACTTGAAAGTCAATTATCTCCAAACTGAGACAGTCACCATAAGGACACTTTTGGAAAACGGAGTGAGGTGTCTGCTTTCCTGGCAGTAAACCCATTACTTCCACTTATAATAATAATTTTCTTAATACTCCTTAATGTTCCCTGATAAATCAGCTCCTCCTCTAACCAGGTCTAAATCAGAATGATCAGGGAAAGATATACAAGGCCAAGCAGAATGAGATCTGCAGCTGCTTAA